CGAGGCAGGTGGCAGAACCACTGAGCTAAATCCCAGGCCCTGCCCTTTTTATTTTGAAACAGAGTCTTGGTAAATTGCCCAGGCTGGCCTCCGATTTGCTATCCTCCTGCCTCAGCCTCCAGAGTAGCTGGGATTACAGGTATACATGGCAGGCAGCTTTTCTCTTTCTAATCTGTGGTTGTGACAGCAAGTGTTCACTGTAACCCTTATGATGGGTGAGGAAGGGGCCACCCTTTATCCCTCCTACACTCTATCCAAGGGAAAGGGGTCAGAACAGAGACCTCTGTTAGAAAAACAGGGCTGAATTTAAAAAATTCTCCTGAGCTTCTGTGGAAACTTTCCAGAGAAAAAGATAAAAGTGACTTTTGGCCCCGTGAAGTGGTTCACACCTGTAATCCCAGCTACTCAGCAGGCTGAGGCAGGAGGATCAGGAATTAGAGGCCAGCCAGGGCAATTTAGGGATTCTGTTTCAAAATCAAAAGCTTCAAGTCTGGGGGCCGGGGATTTAGCTCAGTGGTGCCACACCTGCCTCGCAAGTGCAAAGTCATGAGTTCAATCCCTGATACAAAAAACAAAACAAAACAGCCAGGGATTTAGCTTAGTGGTTCTGTCACCTGCCTCGCAAGCGCAAGGACCTGAGTTCGATCCCTGGTACCAAAAAAACCCTAAAAATCTGGGATGTAGCTCAGCAGTGGCCCTGCCTAGGATGCTGAGGCCCTGGCTCAGTCCCAGCAGGGGAGCAACTTCCCCGGCCTCACCAACTGTTCCCGCAGCCACGCAGAGCTGTCTGCTATTGGAAAGGATCCCCCCTTCGACAGAGTCTGTCTTCCTGCTCCACACACGCATCAGCCTAGTGCCTCACCCTCTTCCCTATGGTCCGCATTTCCCCATCCCAGATCCTTTGGGAACTGAGTACCCCAGCACGTCCCATCACGAGTATTGCTGGGTTTTGATTTTTGAGACAGGAACTCACTATATTGCCCAGACTGGTCTCAAACTCCTGGGCTCCAGCAATCCTCCTGCCTCAGCCTCCAGAGTAGCTGGGACCATAGGTGTGCACCACTGCTTCCACTGACCGTTTTGCTTTTCCAGAGATGCTGCCCTGGCCCTGCATTGCACAGACACTGAACTGCTCTGGAACAGGGCCTGTGGCTCTGCTCTCCCATTCCTGTCTTCCCAGAACCTGTAACATCCTGCCCCTGCCCCAGTCTCTCAGGTGGATTCAGGCACCACTGGCATGGGCTTGTGGCCCTTGGCCTGTTTCCCTCTCCCTTCTGAGGCCCCTGAGTGTGGGAGGACAATGCCTGCATCTGGATGTTCACACACAGCTGCTGCCTTTGTTGTGCTTCATGGCAGATGGGCATGGGATGTTGCTGGTGAATGACTGTGTTTTGCAGATTTTTTGTTTTTGGGTTGAGACAGGGTCTCGCTATGTAGCCCAGGCTGGCCTCGAACTCATGGTGATTCTCCTGCCTCAGCCTCCCCAGTGTCGGATTACAGGTATGCGCCACCCTTCCTGGCTTGGTTTTTTCAGTTTTTGTTAACAATTTTTCTTGGTACCGGGGATTGAACTTGGGACCTTGGACTTTCGAGGCAGGCAGCAGAACCACTGAGCTAAATCTCTGGCGTTTTTTTCAGTTTTTAAATGGGGCCTCAGGCCGGGAATTTAGCTCAGTGGTTCTGCCACCTGCCTCACAAGCGCAAGGTCCTGAGTTCGATCCCTGGTACAAAAAAAAAGGGAGGGCTCCTGCATTCCAGTTGGTGTGGCCCAGGCCTAAGTCATTCCTGTCTTCTTGTGTAGCTATGACAAGTAATTCCTTTCACTCTCAAAATTCTCCTAGTTTGCACGATAAATTATATTTATTTTTGCGAGGTTTTACATTTATTAACAATTAAAAAAAAAAAAAAACAGGCCCAGCAGAGTTCGGGCCTAATAAAAGTGGGAAAAGAAGAACACTCCACAGGGTGAGAGTGAACCACCGGGAAAGAGAGAGGACAGTGGCCAAATTATATGTACTTTAAATGTCAAGCTGGACCCCCAGTCCCCTGCTTAAGTCCCCAGCTTCTGCCTTGCGGAGGGGCACCTGGGGTCTCCCCTGCACCAGCATGCAGTGTCCGCCCTCCCGGGGTGTGCCCATCTCCGGTCACCAGGTTGGGTTTGCATCCGGTCTGCTACCTGGCTAAACCTCACACTTTCAGCTGATAAAAAAGCGCCGTCTCTGCGGTCCAGCTTCCCCCGCAGCAGCAGCCACAGCCACAGGGTCAGGGTGGCCCCAGCCTGAGCCCACAGACACTGCAACCAGGAGAGGTGGGGCAGGGGCGGCTGCCCTGGAACCCCCAACTCCGGAAGCCCAGTTGCTCTCCCCTTGTCTGCCACAAGCACAAATCAGAATAGAAGAGGAAATGTTGCAATTTTATTTATTTACTGTTACTGGGGATGGACTCCAGGCCGCTGCACCACTGAGCTACACCCCTAGTCCTTTTTAAAGTTCATTTTTATGACAGGGTCTTGCTAAGCTGCTGCCCGGGCTGATCTCAAACCTGGGATCCTCCTGCCTCAGCTTCCCTAGTAGCCCAGACTACAGACATGTGCTACCATGCCTGCCTCATGTCTTTACTTTTAACTTTTCTGCAATGCTGGTGACCTCTACTTGTTTCATCTAGGCTCGGTCCCCCTGCCGATGGCCAAGGCCTCCCTGAGTCCTTTAGGGAGGAGTCACATTTTCAGGCTTTGCCAGATGGCACAGGGCACACTGTGGCAGGTCCCTGATGTGCAGGCCCCTCTCTCTCTCCCAGCCTGGTAGCAAACACAGAGCCAGGAGCAGAGAACAAGAAACGCTTCAAAGTGGACCAACGGTTCAGGACGCAGCCCAGGCCCTCGGCCTCCTTCCGGGGCGCACAGCGGACTGGCCAATCCCATGCCGGCTCCCAGAACTGGAACACTGCTCTCCAGTGTCCACTCTGATGTGCTCTGGGAGGCCTGTCACTGCCAGGCCACATCCACATGGGACAAGCAGGGCACAGCCACACGTCCTCAGATCACTTGAAGCAGCAGCGGAATTGAAATTAACTTCAGCGACTCACTTTGGAGAATAAATGCCAGTTGTAGAGATTTTATCAGCAGAACTTGATACAATGTCTCCCTGGAAGACCTTGGCGACAGGTGCACCTTTCAACTTTGTGGCAGTGACTTCCTTTTTGTGAGCTCCGTTAACAAGGAACCCTGCCACTGATCGATTGCTCTGGCCTGAGATTTAGCAAGGCAGGAATTGTGCTGAGTCAACGTGACTAAACCCTGGGCTCCCTCAGGTCCCTGGGAGCAGGTGCCTGTCATGCCATAGGGCACACTCAGAGTGCTGATCAACAGCAGCACTTCTTCCTTTCCTGCCGGTCCCTGCTACACAGGCTTTCCCTTTCCAGGGAAAGGTGTTAACAAGCAGCAGAAGCCACAGAACAAGAGGCCTGCTTCCAGGGTGTGAGACCACAGCAGCAGGCCTTTGAGAGATGGGCTGGGACCACGTCGGGGCTCCCAAGGACACATCTGGTGACAGCGCTGGAGCCAGGGTTTCATGCTGACCTGCAATTATTAGAAAATCCACAAATGCCTGACATGTGCTGCTTAAGAAAGTCCACCCATGATACTATGCGTTAGGCTCCCCCTAACTCTCCAAATCCCAAATCAAAGCCAGTGCATGACTCCTGCAGCAACAGCTCTTCTCGCACACTCCCTGGGCAAACCCTCGTTTGCTAAGAGGGCATGGAAGGACTTGTGCAGATTTGAAATGCCCAGCTCTGCCACTCACTTGCTCTGGAATTCCTGTAACTGAATTCAAAAGGCTCCATCACACGCTAGGGAGAAAACAATTTTGAAAAACCCAGAGACCTGGCCAGGTATAGTGGCACACGCCTGTAGTCTCAGCACTCAGGAGGCAGAGGCAGGAAAATCACAAGTTTGAGGCCAGCCTGTGCTACATAGTGAGTTCAAGGCCAGCCTGGACCGCCTCTCCCTGAATAGGGAGACCCTGTCTCTACAAACCAACCAATCCAGAGGCAATGGAACCAAATGGCAGACGAGAGTGCAGCAGGTGACGTGCTTGCATAGCTGTAGAGGGCTGTGTGGGGACAAGCAGCTCCTGAGGGATCCTGGGAGATCGCACAGGACCAAAGACGGGATGTCAAGAAAACTCAGGAGGCTGATCCTGAATGAGGTCTAGGTGTAGGACAGAGCCAAGACCCCACCCAGGGTGATTGGTTGTCCAGTTCACACTGCAAGTCCAGCACAGTCTAAGGAAGCCTTTTTCTTGGTTCTGGGGGTTGAACCCAGGGCCTGTGCACTGAGGCCCCCTCCTTAATCTTATGTTTCTAATTCTGGGACAGGGTCTTGCTGAGTTGCCCGCACTGGGCTCACAGGCGTGCACCAGCCCTGGGCTTTCCTGGGCCGCATGGGCATGCTTGCTCACCCGTGGGCTGGAAGTGCTGCAGTCCAACTGTCTTGCACATCTGAAAGGAGCCCTGGTCACCGTGGCCCAGCTGCTTCGCCTCTCAGAGCCCACTCTGCCTCTGCCCACGCAGTGGCCCACAATGCCAGGGGTGGTGTCACCTGGATGCCATCAGACAGACAGGTTGTCCTGGCTCGGGCTCCAGGAGACTCTGAGCTCCCACGGCCCTGCAGCCGGGGACACAGACTCAGTACCGGCGAGGCCTCGGGCCCAGGCGTGACCATGGCCTCTGTGCCTGCTGTGCTCCTCTCGCTATGGCTTCTGAGCCTGGGAAACTGTCGGTACCCACAGGCTCCCCCAGGCTTCCTACCCTCCCTGTCGCCAAAACCTGTGCAGTCACAGCTTCTGTCTTCCCACACATCCCTAACTTGGCCTTGGCGACCAGGAGTCACTGTCTCTGCGGCCACGCCTCTTCCTCTGTGCTGACCCCGACCTGGCGGAGTCTCCTCAGGCCCTGACCTGTCAGAAGCCTCCGCTTCCACTGTCTCCCCAGCTGCGTGGCCAGCTCCACTCGAGGGAGGGAGGCACAGTGGCTCTCCTACCACCTCCTGGGACACGCTTTCTGCTCACTCGCACGGCCCCTGGGGAGCTGCCTTCCTCTCCTGCACGACCCCAGGCTCTCAGCAAAGGTGTCTGTCACGCCTCCGAACCTGGACCCTGGGGCTGCCTCAGTCTACCTCCTGTCTCCCCAACCCCCGACATGGGGGGGGGCTCTCCTGCTTTCCTCCCCTTTCCTATTCTTGCCTCCTAGCTGTTTCGGCTCAGCAGGCAGACCATCTTTTACAAACACAAATCAGACCTCTTGCTCCTCCTCTCTGAACCTGTGCAGACTCCCCATTTCACTGCGGTGAACCCCAAGTCTTCCTCAACCCTAGCCCCTGGCCTGGCTACCTCCTGATGGCTCGTCGCTGTCGCCCGAGTCCACACCAGCGGGCTTGCTGTTCCTGGACCCCTGAAGAACTGCTGCCCCAAGGGCTTCATTTCTCTGCCCACAAGAGGCCTCGCCCAGGGCCCTGCACAGCCCCCGGTGAGCAGGGATGGCTGGACACTGGCTCTTGGTCAGGCTGGGTCTCCTTCACGTTCCCATCTCTACCTGGCCTTGCTGTCCTCTGCAACATTCACCACCCAATGTTGTGAACCCCTTTACCGAGGGTCCTGCACATCTCAGCAGGTGTGGCTGGCACACAGACCTGGCCCAGGACACTGCTGCTTCTGTCTGGGCCGGCTGGCCTGCTCACGGTGGGCGCTCACCACTGAACCACACTACCTGCCAGAGAGCATGGTCCATTACACTGACAGCCGGGTTTTCAAAGCAGACCTCAGCCCACAGAACCGCCACCACCCCACTGGCAGTGACAGAGGGCTCCAGAGGAAACCCAAACCTAACATTCGGGAGGGAAGCACTCTCCAACACAGCCACACTTTGCTTTGTTTTCCTGGGTATGTAAAAAGCGCCGTTTCAAGCAGCAGAAAGAACGTGTGGGTCACAGCACTGTGTCTTTGGTCTTAGAATCATCTTTACCAGTCAAGAAATCAGTGTGTAATGAATTGGGGTTTTTTTTGTTTTTTTTGTTTTGTTTCTTTGGGACAAGGTCTTGCTATGTAGTTCAGGCTGGCCTGGAACTCATGGAGATCTTCCTGCCTCAGCCTTCTGAATGCTGGGACTATAGGCGTGGGTTGCCACACCTGGCAGTGAACTACCTTTCAAAGGGTGCAGGATGCATGCAAACCAGGAGCCCAGAATGCACTGGTTGTACCTTTATTATTTTTACCTCGTTCACTAGTAACTCCGTGATACAAGGTTACCATACACAGTTAGATTAATGTCTGCGTTGCACATCTAAGGCTATGCAGCAAAAGAACCCGAATCAGTACAAATACAAGAACTGTATTTACACTCTGTATACTCAAGCTCCAAACATCAGAGAGTATTTACAAAATCAAACATGAAAATGAAAATCCAAAATTAATAATGTACATTGTCGCTAATGTGCTGGACTCCTTCGCTGGGGAGAGATCAGTCTGCAAGGTCTTGGTTCAGAAAGGCCACTTATGCATCATGGGGTTTTGTGACAGGGGAGGATGGTGACAAGACTCGGGTCTCAACAGACAAGCACTGCAGTGCCACAGAGGCGAGTTCGAGCCCTCGACACGAGAAGGCCGGTGGGTTCCGCGGCGACCGCACGCCAGGACGCGCAGCACAGGAAAGGACGGACGGGAAGACAGGGGGACAGCGCGGCAGCGGGGCTGGCGAGAGCCCAGCCTGGGGTGGACGTCCCGACCCAGCAGCCCGGGCTGAGCTGCTTTGAGGCTCATCCCAGCCCTGGCCTGAGTTCTGCCTCAATGCAGTTCTTCCTGTAACCGACTGGGGCTCCCTAAGATTTCACAGGGCTCAGAGGCGAACCTCATAAATGGCCTTCTGAATAGCAGCAGGAACACATCCCTCCGCTGACGACCTCTGAGCCGCTGCGCACGGGATCGGCACACACCAGAGCGCAGGCACGGGACCTCAACAGCAGCGGCGCAGGGAGGCTTCTCGTCCGCAGCAGCAGGTTCATCACATTCAGAGGGAACCCGAGGGAAGCGAAGGACCTGCGCCCGGCCGGGCAGGTGCAGCGCCAGGGCGCCCTCTGCCGGCCCAGCGTGGAGTTAGCTACAGCTGTGCAACTATCCTCATAGCTTACAAATTAAATACCCCTGTAAATCAGACAACAGCAGGCAACAGAGTCTTTGCTTTGAAATATGTGCCAGGAGAATTCAACCTGTTTTAGATCCCAGAAGATCTTTCACGACGGTCTCATTCGTTCCTTCATCTCAACAAGCTGAAAAGCCAGCCGAAATATGAGGGCTACTGCCTAAAGGGGGGTGGTAGCATAATAGTGGTGCCTTACGGGGGGGGGGCCTCGCCTGCGGCCCCCACCAGTGCAGCAGCAGCCCAGCCTCCATCCTGACTGCGAGGGGCTGGCCGGCCCCACACAGCCCGGCCTGGAGCTGACTGACTCCAGGCAGGTGCAGACGAGGCACTGGTGTGGGTCGCCTGAGGCCACATTTCACTTAGGCGGAAGGAGGGTGAGGGTTGAGAGAAGGAAGCGATGATCAGTGTTCACTAGCACTCACCCTTGTAAGCTGCCTAAGAGTTCTCTTTCCTGTCTCTTTGTGTGCTTGCTTAAGAAGGGAAAAATAAATAAAACACCACCTTCCACGTGGTTTCCTTAAGGTTAGGGGTGTCAGCTTTCCTGCCACTATGGCTCTAGGTAGCGGCTCAGGAGGAGTTCCTGCTGCACACCCTGTCCTGGCTCCAAGGCAGAGGTGAGAGCATCAGGCCTGACTGGGCAGCAGGCCCTGCAGGACCAACCCCACCCGCGTCCTCCTCCGCCTGCCCCAGCATCTGCCTCTGCGCGTCCAGAACAGAGCCCAGCTCGCTGCTCCTCATGCCTCACACTCCCAGAGCAGGCTTTCCAAACCAGCTTCATTTGCCTTAGAGGAAAACACAAAAGTGATTTCAGTGCATCGCACGTCTCTCCCTCTGGCCTCCCGCCTCCCCTGCCACCGTCCTGGATTCTGCAGTCCAACTTTGTAACAGCAGCAGCATCACAGATTTAATTTAAAAGTGACCTTCAAATTTCATCTTCGTTTCCCTGAAATCAGATTTAGATTTAGTTCCAGCCCAGGAAGCTGCCGGAAGCAGACAGATCCTGCTGGTTTGAGTATACACGAGAAGGGCTCCACGCATCTGTCAGAGAAGAGAGAGCTAGCTACAGTAAGAACCTCGTGTACACTTAGAAAACAGCGTTACAAGGTAGTGACGTATGTTTTCAGGAGGGAAAGCTAAAATCCACCAGTTTCCGTTGCTCACTTTCTATCAGAGCCCAGCGGGACTCCTGCCCTTTCCTCCTGAGGCCAGGTGGTGCCGGTGCGCGTTCCGCAGGGAGGCCCAGCGGGGCAGGGGCTCGGTCCCTAGACAGCTGTGTGGGGTGTGGTCCCCCAACCTGCCATGGCCTTGTGGCCAGGAGCTGGGAGCAGCGGCTGCCCTCCTGATAGGGACGTGGTGGGGACAGTGAGCAGGGCAGGGTGACACCAGAGGACTGGAGTCATGGGCACAGCAGCTGCAGGGACCCGGGGCTGCTCGGAAGCCAAGTCCCCTGTGAAACCATGGCAACCAAAGCAGAGCCGACCTCTGGTGTCTCAAGGCCAGAAGACTGGGTCTGGCAGAGGAAAAGGAGACTAGGTGGCACCGAGCTTCCTTTCTTTGTGGGCAGCATCCCTGTGCCACATGGACGAGGGGACAAAGAGAGACGAGCGGAGGATGAGCAGAAAAGCTCGGGGGAGGCCTCCCAGCCCGGCCGTCTTCCACCATGTGGAGTGGTGGGGGCTGGCTCAGCCCAGGGTGTGGAGAGCAAAGGCTGCCGCGTGTGCTTTCTGATGAGCCCAGGGAGGCTGCGAGACTGGGAATGGCCCTGGATGCAGAGACTTCCACGCTGACGCTGGGAGCTCCGTTTCCTTGATGGAGGGAGCACAGCACTCACAGGCCACTGCTCAGCACCACCGGCATCACAGTGCCAAGGACCACCGAGGTCAGCCACAGATGGCGCGGTGACACAGGCCTCGCCAGGAGAGACCCCAGGACTGCTAGAGGCAGCTCCCTTCTCACAGGAGAAAAGGGCTTTGGAGGGACCCTGCTGTGAGGAAGCCCAGCGTCCTCTGACCGCCACCCCAAGGCCAGGGCCCCATCCCGTGTCCTTATCCAGGGTCATCCCTTCTTGGGCCAACAGCAGCCGCTGTCCCAGGCCTACGGAGGCCGCTCTGGTCTCTTCTACTCTCTGAGAACCATTCTACCTCCTACGGAAGCCGTGCGACCCAGGTGGTGACTGTCCGCGTCTGAACTCACCATGACTTCTCCCCGATGGAAATGCAGGGCTGGGCCGTGGCCAAGGGAGGCAGCAGGGAAAGGTGAGTGTCTTCCCCAGACTCCAGCCAGGCCAGAAGCTCCCGCCGTGCCTCTAAGCCACCCAAGAAAAACTAGTGATATCACAGAGAAAAGAAGAAAAAGGTACCCTGAAAGAGAGACAGGTAACCAAAGACGACAGACTCTAGAGATGGCCATGACAGGGACCTGTCACATGAAAGGAAGCCGGAGTGTGTGCGCACATGGGTTCTGATTTTTTAAAATCTGTTTTCCTTTTGTTAGGCCGCATGCTACTACCAAGACTCTCAGCACAGGAAGAAAGAGGAGTACAGAGCCATGGAGACGGGGACAGGAGAGCAGAAAAAGTGCCGGACGAGGGGAAAGTAGTTAAGCCACAGGGTTACACAGGAGAGCAACCGTCAAGAACCACAAAGAGAGGGAGTTTCCTTTATCTCTCCAAGGCAAGGCGGCTCCACAGAGCGAGCACTCAGTACTTGGGCTGGCTCAGGCATCTCCGGGACAGCTTTGACCTGCGGGACAAACGGGAGCAGGGTCAGAGCTCCGGGTCTCCGAGCGGTGCTTCTCGGTGACACTGCAGCCCTGGTCTTCCTCACTCTGGGGACCCTGGGCACAAGCCCCTCAGAGGATCTGAGGCTGAGCCACAGGGCTGTGCTCTACCCCACCTACAGACCTCCTGAGAGCAAAAAAAGGGGAGATGAACTGCTGCAAATGTGCCAGGGCCTCCTCAGTGGCTCACAAAACAAGATGGTTTTTTTTTTGGGTGGTACTGGGGATTCAATTGAAAGCCATTACACAGAGCTATATTACCAGACCTTTTGAAATATTTATTTGTTTGTTTGTTTGTTTATTGGTACCAGGGATCGAACTCTGGACCTTGTGCCTTCAAGGCAGGCGTTGGAACCACTGAGCTAAATCCCTGGCCCCTGAAATATTTATTTTTGAAGCTGGGGATTTAGCTCAGTGGCACGGTACCTGCCTTGCAAGTGCAAGGTCCTGAGTTCAATCCCTGTTACCGCAAAAAAAAAAAAATTATTTTTGAGACAGAGACTCGCTAAGGTCAGGCTAGGCATGAACTCCCATCCTCCTGCCTCATCCCTGAGGGTGGGATCACAGGTGTGAGCTACCTATTGCACCAGGGTTGACATGAGCTCTCAGGAGAGGCGGAGGCCTCACCGTCCCTACAGCCCCCTTTCCGCCCTGTCCTCCTGATGCGATGCTTTTAACGACTTAGGACAATGCTTCCTTCCCCATTTACTCGGGTATGGCCCAGGAACAACTGCTCACCGTATTGTGCCAGCAAGGAGGGGGTTAAAGGCATATAACCAGTCATTCATGTCCTTGTCATTGACAGCCTGCAGAAGGACCCTTCGATGCTTTGTGGACACAGCGAAGGTGTTAGGTGTCTGGAAGAGACAGGCAGATGGGGCAGTCAGTGCAGGGAGTGAGTATTGGGCGCTGCCCTGCAATACCCACTGGGCCTCCAGCACAGCACACCGAAGAGCTCCGAGTCGGAAGGGACAGCACACACAGCACCGAGTGCCAAGACAGGGCGGGACTGACCTTCACCATAGCCTGCCGGTCCTCACTGTACTCCACCTGTGCCGTGGACAGGTTAATGATGCCACGTTCCACTGGGTCCTTGTCACTGTTGTAGATGAAGACGTAAGGGCGACGGACCACAACAAAATGCTTGGCCCAGCTGCTGGAAAGCGGCTCCTTGAAATGCAGGTATCCTTTCTTAGAGACCACTGAGCTACAAGGACAATAAGGGAAAAGAGAAGTTAGTTTCTCACAAAAAGAAAATGGTCAAGAGCCGAGGGCCATCCAGGTGCGTTCTCTGGGCAAGTCCTGGACCCAGCAAAACAGGAGAAGCATCGATTTGGCCTAGATTCCTATCTGCCAAGCAGTAGAGCAAGAGACTAAAAAATGCCACCACACACGCTGCACCAGCACTGGGCCAAACCTAGCTCAGTGCCTCAGCCTGGCCCAGCTGCACAAGACCACAGCAGAGTCGTACGAGAAGCTGGAAGCAAACTGCTGATGGTCGCTCATTTATGCGTGGCACCCTGTTCACTGTGGCACTCACCCTGGTCGGATTTCTTCAATATCTGGAACGAGATTGAGAAATTCATGTTTTCCTGCTCGGGCCAAATAGGGTGTCTCTACAGCTGGGATGATCTGAAACTGTTCAAATTCTGTGCAGGGACTGGAGGCCCGGGAATTGGCTTCTGGGGTCCTTTAAAGAGAGAGGGTGGAAGAGTGATGGTGAACCTTGTGGAGCTTTCAGTGATACAAACAGCCCTCCGCCACAGGCTCAGGGGAAGGGGTAACGAGAGTTTCAGGAAGGTCAGGCATCCGAGTAGAGGACGCATGGCCTCCCTGCAGCTCAGCTGAGGAGGAGTAACTGAACTCCACCCTCTCCTCCTCAGAAGCTACAACAGAGCGCTGATGAGCACTGAGCCACCTCTCTCTCTTCCAAGGGCCTTGTATTTCGAGGACTTCAGTGCCGGATATACAGGTTTCTTTTTAAGTCCCACGAAACCTGCGGCAGTGGTGCTCAAACTGTGGTCATGGACCCAGAGCAGCAGCTTCACCTGGAAGACGTCAGGGACTCAAATTCCTAAACTCCTAACTCAGATCTCCAGGATGGGAAGCTGGGTGGGGCGGCTTCACTCTGGCTGGTGGCCCTGGCCTCCCACGGTCACCCACGGGACAGCACTGAGCGCAGGCGACGCAGAGCCCAGGCTCCCCGAGGCTGCGCAGGCTCAACTGCACTGCACACCTGGCCCAGGCCTCGGACTGGCCACATGGGGAACAAAGTCCTCTCCTCTGTGTTGTTAGGGGCTTAGCTGAGCCCTAGCCCATCTTCCCACGCTTTATTGTCTCTATTTTTCTGTGACAGAGTTTCGCTTTGTAGTGAAGGCTAGCCTTGAACTTGCAGCAATCTTCCTGCCTCAGCCTCCTGAGTGCTGGGATTACAGGCATGCGGCCCATGCTCAGCTGCTTTATCAATTCTTGAACTGGGATGCATTTTATAATTAACAGTATGTTGTTTTTTCTTTCTTAGGGACATGTAAAATAGTATCTTGCAGCTGACAGACCGACATCTAATCAAATTGAGTGGGGCAGGGCCTGAGTGATGGCAAGGCCCTCACTGAGCTGCAGTGCTGAGGAAGCCACCCTGCCCTTCGGCTCCCACACCGCTTCCTCCCTGAGCCCACACTTACTTCTGATCCACAGAGTTGCTCCTGGAGTCGACCAGAGAGGGGCATGTGGAGGACGGGGTGAGGGTGGCACTGCTGAAACTGGACACGGAAGGGTTGCGTCCCATTGGAGAGATGTCAGACAACTGGAAGCAGAAGGAACAGCCTATGAGATGCAGCAGCAAAAGGCTGCGTGGCCACAGGGAGCTGGAACAGCCAGTGCCTCCCTTTCACCAGCTGGCTGCAAGGTCGCACAAGAACACCAGAGCTGGATGTGGGGGTCACACCTGCCATGTGGGTACTCGGGAGGCTGAGGCAGGAGGTTCACAAGTTTGAGGCCAGCCAGAGCTAGACATTAGGTTCAAGGCCAACCTCCACTACAGGGCAAGACCTGTCTCAAGAAACAAAACCAAAGCAGGCATGGGGGTGCACGCCTGTAATCCCAGCACTCGGGAGGCTGAGGCAGGAGGATCATTGCAAGTTCGAGGCCAGCCTGGGCTACATAGGGAGACTGTATCTCAAAAATCCAAAAAATAAGGGCCAGGATTTAGCTCAGTGGCCCGCATCTGCCTGGCAAGCGTAAGGTCCTGAGTTTGATTTCCGGTACTGAAAAAAAAAATCCAAAAGATAGAACAGAACAAAACAAAAACAAAAGAAAACAAGCCAAAAGCCCACATATAGAATGACTGTTGGCTGAGCATGGTGCAGATCTGTAAATGCAGCACTCTGTGAGGCTGAGGTAGGAGGATCACAGGTTTGAGCCCAGCTTGGGCAACTTAGTGAGACTCTGTCTCAAAATGAAAAATAAAAATACGGATGGGGATGTAGCTCAGTAAAGACCCTGGGTTCAATCCCTAGTATAGCCAAAAGTAAATAAATGAAAAGAAAATTCTAAAAAAATATAAGACATTTACAAAAGGAGCATTAAGGTATGTTATGGACATATGTTATCTCCTTATAATGAATATACTCATTCAAATATGTACCAATAAAAATTAAAATTAGAAAAAGAGGCAACCCTGGCTTCTTTTTTTTTTTTTTTTTTTGGTACTAGGGATTGAACTCGGGTCCTTATGCTTACGCAGCAGGCAGCAGAACCACTGAGCTAAATCCCCAGCCCAAGCCTGGCTTCTTACGTCGCTGCTGCCTTTTGGTATTAATTGAATACCCTTAAACACATACACACCGAGACCCTGCCATGTGGCAGACATTGCTCTAAGAGCAGTGTAAAGGCCTTGACCTCCTGGGGCTTACATCCCAGTGGAGAAGGCAAATAACAGACACTTCAGAAAGTACCAGGCAGTAACAGGTGCTAAGGCGAGGAACAAGATGGGAGGGCACAAAGTTCCGGGGAGGCCCCAGCCTGCGGTAGGGGTGCTTCACTCCAGGGCAATCTTGGGGAGAAAACTGGAAGTGACACAGGCAGCAGGCAGGCAAGAACAGGAGTGTTTGGGGGCACCAAAGAGGCTGGCTGAGGAGGACAGAGCGAAGGACACAGGAGTTCTCCAAAGGCACTGAGCTTGGTGCTACTGAGAGCCTGAGGACTTCCTGTGCCCTGTCTCTCTCTCACACACACTCTCACACATACACCCCCCCCCCACAGAACATCCTCCTCCTCAGGTTCATGGAAGAGCCATGGTGTCCCCCCCTCATCTCCACCCCCAGTCTGCTCTGACTCTGCAAAGTTGGAGTGAAGCCCAGAGCAGTGTTAGTCTTCAAACAATTCTGTGTCCGGCTCAGGTCACTCACAAACTGTGCAACCCGAGGAACAGAGCCCTGGGCTGCAGGGGAGGAAGCATCACTCACGCTCCGGGCCACATCGAGGGTTGCAGCGCTCACCTTGCAGTCGCTGATGCTGCTGTGCACCTGGCTGAACTCCCGGTTGAAAGTGTGGGTGAGGAGCTGCAGGCACTGGAGAAAGAAGAGGAGGGGAAGCTGTGTAAATGGCTAGAACACATCAATGGCTAAGCTGTGTGCGGTGATGCAGGCCTGTGATCCCAGTTACTGTACTTGGGGGCTGAGGCAGGAGGACAACAAGTTCAAGGCCAGCCTGGACAACCTAGTGAGACCTTGTCTCAAAAAGAAAGAGCTAGGCACATAGATCAGTGACACAGAGTGCTCGCCTGAAAGGTGAGGTCCTGGTTTGGTCCCTAGTACCACAAAACAAGAAGAAGAAAAAAACTTTTAACGGCTAAATGGAGCCCTGCACTCAAAGCAGAGGGGAACTCTCACGCCGGAGCTCAGCGAGGGCCAGACTGCTCTAGAATCTGCCAAGCACATGGCCAGGTTAGAGACCTGACACCCGTACACCCAGAGACAGTGAGTGGGGCGAGAGGCTGCTCCATCTCCTCAGAGCTAGCTGGAATAGCCCTTAAAAAGTGTACAGCAAGGGAAAGCCGGTGCATGTCTGATAAAGACAACAAAATAAATGGATTTAAAACGCTGCTGCCAGCCTAGACAGTGAGCTACTGCAAACGTGGCACTGTTTAAGAACATTAACAGCATCCCTTTCACTCCGCTTTACTCTCTTAATAGCCGGCATGGAGAATTCTGGCCGGGACATTTTCTTCCACCAACTAGAAGACTATCAAGTTATGAAAACAAGACAAACACAAAAGCCCTGTCCCATTTTCGGCTAGCAGCTGTGCCCCTCTGCCTCCTCCCTCCACAGCCCAGTGCCCCTTCCTCTCCGCCCTTGCTGACAGCCCTCACCATTTCCCACTGATTACTGTATGAAGACTTCTCTCCTCCTCACAAGCTCACCCTTCTTCACTGTTGCCAGAGAAATTTTTCTAAAACAGATACTGTTTAAAATATTTCCAGTCCAACATGGTAGCACTCTTCTATAATCCCAGCACCCCAGGAGGCTGAGGCAGGCAGTCCGCAAGTCTGAGCTCGGCCTGGGCAACTCAGTGACTGGGTAAGACCCTGTCTCAAAAAACACAGCTCATCGTGAAGACTGTGGGCCCGATCCCCAGTACCACAAAAAGAAAAATCAAAAACCCCCCATCACTCCCCCAGGCCCCTGGAAACTCCAGTGCCATACGGGCCCCGCTCCACATCCAGTCCCTTTCCCATGTGAGCTCCCTCCTGAGAGACAGCCTCCGTGACCCACTCGTCTGCCTCAGGCTGAAGCTCCGGGCGGGACTCAGCCGCATCTCCTTCTCTCTGTGCGCATGAGCCCAGAAGAAGGGCTGCCCGCTAACGAGCCCAGGCCAGCCGTGCCCCGCCAGGAGGCCTTTCCCACCTTGGTGGCCAGCTCTTTCTCGCGATCCACCAGGCTCTCGATGTCTGCCGAGTCATACCCGCTGCTCTCGCTGGGGGTGATGGCGCTTTCGAAGGTGGTGGTTGAGATTTGAGAGGAGATGCTGGTGGAGGTGCTGAGGGTCCCACTGCTGAGGCTGGGGGACAATGAGTCACTCAGGGATTTGGGGATGCTGTCACCAAGTCTCTCACGCAGCAGCAGGAAGTGGCGCGTTTTCTCCACCTGAGAAGATAACACTATTGCCTTAGCAAACAAAAAAGCCTGTCTAGATCTTCTTTTTGTATTTTGAGACAGGGTTTTACTATATAGTTCAGGCTGGCCTTGAACTCACTATGTAGTCCAGGCTGACCTGGAACTCGTGGTGATGCTCCTGCCTCAGCCTTCCGAGTGGTGGGATCACAGGTGTGCGCCACCACGCCTGGCCATTTTACCATTTTAGAACCAGGCCAGCTGGTTCTAGATGTCCCCCAAAGCCCCATGTGCTCCTGGGCGGGGCTTTGGCTGCAGACTAGATCCTGGAGGCTTAGCGCGGACTTGCACCCGTTGTAGGTGCCGGGCGCGGTCCCAGCAGAGGAAGGTGTCTGACACTGCCCTCGCGGTGTGGAGGGAGGTGAGCCTCCTACCTCGTGCAGCAGCTCCAGCTTGTCCAGCTCCCACTGGTGCTCCAAGATGAGGCTGTCCCCGCGGGGCCGCCAGCCGGCCAGGTTTTCCTCACCGCGCACATAGGCCGCTGATGTGTCCAGCACTCTCCTCCGCCGCCTCTGCATGCCTGGCACAAGAGGGCAGATTGGCTCTCCCCACACAAGACTCAACTCCAATCGCGGGTCAGGAGGATGACTAACCCTTCCATGTGGCACACTACGCCTGGCTCAAGACCCATGAGGTTTCGTTCAGTAATAAAAGTCCACTTTTCTCCCAGAGCAGCTCTCATGCGGTGCTGGCATCGAATCCATGGCCTGCCGCATGTTCAAGGAGTCTCCGCCACTGAGAGACACCTCCGGCCTGCTGCAGTTGCTTGGCACAGGGTCTCCCACTCACTCACTCAGCTGCCCAGGTTAGCCTTCAACTTGCAATGCCCTGCCTCAGCCTCCTGAGTGCTAGAATTATAGCCCTGTGCCAGTGGACTGAACTGTGATTGGAGAAAACCCTAATGGTACTGTTACAGGAAAATACAGATATCAAAGAGTCTGTACACTATGATCCCAAATACTTAAAAACATGCCCCTATGGGGAGGGGGAGGGAGTGTGCACACACATATCCAGCAGCGCAGGGATTGGGAGATGACGGATGGCTTCAGTCCTTATCATTTCCCATTTTAAAAAATGTTATACTACTTTAAAAAAAAAGGAAAGGAATGAAAAAGAAAAAAATTTGTAAATGTTACACTATTTTTACATAGGAAGTACATGAATTTATATTAATTTTTTAAATTCCTGGGGCCAGGGATTTAGCTCAGTGGTTCTGCCACCTGCCTTGAAAGTGCAAGGTCCTGAGTTTGATCCCCGGTACACCCCCCCCCCCCCCGGCAAAACCCCAAAGCAAAACAACAACAACAAATTCCTCAAGAAACTATATGGAGAGCAGGGCATGGTGGCACATGCCTATAATCCTAGCACTCGGGAGGCGGAGGCAGGAAGATCAACAAACTTTTAAGGCCAGCCTGGGCTACATAGTGAGACCCGCCTCAAAAGAAAAAAAAAAAAAAAACACACACACACACACACACACACACACACACACACACACACTATCTGGATATTAAAATGAGCTGCTATTGGGACTTGGATTCCAACTCAAAGTCTTTATCTAAATCTTACCTGTGGCCCTGACTTCTGTCCTGTAAAGGCCTCTAAACCCACTCTAACTGCTGGGTTAGGGTGTGGCTCTGCGGTACAGTGCCTGCCTAGCATGCATGAGGCCCGAGGCTCAATCTGCAGCACCCCATTAACAAACAAACAAATAAAAATAAAATACTACAACCTCATCAATCAAATGCTTTTTCACAAACCCTATGTGGTGCTGCCTACATCCCCTTGGAAACTCACGTGGAACGCGACCGTCACTGTGATGTCTAAATGGGTGTCGCGCTGTTATCTTGGGTGAGGAGGGGGTTCTGTTGTCCCCACCCCTGTGAGCCTCTGATCCTGCAGGCCTGGGTCTGGGCTAAGAACCCAACTTTCTTGTTCTGTTCTTTGGTGGCGTGGGGGATTGAGCACCAGCATGTGCCCTGAGACAGAGCACTGCCACCAGGCTGGAACTGGACTTTCTGACAGCCTCCCACAGAAGCTGATGCAGTTGCTCAGTAACGTTTAACTGCCAAGTTGCCTTTGGGCTGAGGTGGGGAGGGAAGCGGTAAGTTTTCCAAGCCAAATTTATTCTAATTCACTCAGATTTTTAAATACTATTTCATAACCCGTGTTTGATATAATTTTTATAACCATGTTATACAACATACAACAAACAGTGCTGCAGTTTTACCACTATCACCACAAAGGGGGTTTTTAAAAATACACATGATAAGAGTCGGGGATTTAGCTCAGTGGTTCCCCTGCCTGCCGCGCAAGTGCAAGGTCCCCAGTTGGATCCCCGGTACCAAAAATAAACAAACAAACAAAATACACGTGATTTCTAACAGGTTTTATCTCCATCCTACCAGTTTTGTTGTACTCTATTTAAAACACATGCCAAGATAAGTGTCACCTCCAGGCTCCAAGGACTTACCTGGGCTACCTGTGTCTGCCATTTTGCATAAGCTGAGTTCATAAATCCCAGTGACTCGATTCCTATTTGAAAATAAAGTAAAACAACTGCTTAATTCTGATAATGCAGAACAGGAAAGCCTCAGTCATCTGGTTAAAACTGTCTCCTCTGCAGGGGCTGCAACCCACCCCCAAATATAATGATGCACATTTCTTATCAGTCACCGTCCTTTTCTATCTGTTTTTTTTTTTTTTTGTACCAGGGATCGAACTCAGGATCTTGCACTTGCGAGGCAGGCAGTGGAACCACTGAGCTACAACCCCAGCCCCTATTCAAGTTTAAGTCGTAGGTCTTTTCCAGGCAGGAGCTTGTTTCTCTCTGAGTAACAGGACGGTAAACTAGAACTTTTTTTTGAAGCAAAACACTTATTGGTACATTTTAAATATATAATGATAACACTCATCATAGGGAATTTGTACCTGTACATGATATATCTTGCTGCTTCTTTTTCCTCCCAACCTCCGCTTATGTACAAAAACTTTATTTACATTTCTTCCTTCGCTTTTCTTTTTTCCCTAGTTCCTTCTTTCCTTTCTCCCTCCCCCTCCCTTGTTCCCCTTCTCATTTGAACATTTTCTTCCCATTTCCCAATATTTATTGTATATTTTAGTTCTTATTTCCACTTCCAGTTTCTCACACCAGAGAAACAATGTGGTATTTAAACATGTGTGTCTGGTTTATCTCACTTAAAGAGTATGGTCTCAAAGTGCATCCATTTAGCTAAAAGTGTCTCAGGCTTATTCTTCTTTATGGCAGAGTAGTACTCCATTGTATAAAAAAATCTGTATCTGGGCTGTGGGTGTGGCTTGGTGGTAGAGTGCTTGGCCAGCATGCAAAACACTCTGGATTTGAAGCCCAGAAACCGCCCCTCCACAAAATCCACACCTTTATCAGTTTTTTTTTCAGTAATGGGGATCAAACTCAGGACCTTGTGGTTTCCAGGCAGATGCAGCACCACCGAGCTATATCCTGGGCCCCTTCTTTAACAATTCTAAACTAGAATATTTGCAACACAAATATGAGAACTAAAAACTTGTTTTTTCTTCCTATAAGAAAGAAGAAATGAGGGACAAAAGTGACTGGAACGAAGTGGGGTAAACAGCTCTGACGACTATGAGTAGGAAGTGGTACTGAATCTTTTATTGTATTATAGTAAGAATCATGCTTCTTTTATTCTTTAAGCTGGGTGGTGATATACAAATATTCACTCTATTGCTCGTGACCTACTTTTATATACATTTTATTCTTTTTTGTTTTTTTCCAGTCCTGGGGCCTGAATCAGAGCCTTCACACTGAGCTGTATCCCTAACTCTCTTCTTAGTTGTTTTTTTTTTCTGGTACCAGGGATGGAACTCAGGACCTTGTGCTTGTGAGGCAGGTGTGGTGCTACTGAGCTACATCACCCGTCTTCTTAATTTTTTTGAGACAAAGTCTAAGTTGCTAAGTTGCCCAGGCATGGCTCAAACTTGCAACCCTTGTGCCTCAGTGTCCCAGTACGCTGGGATTACAGGTGTGCACCCCCCAAGCTTATTTTGATATACTCTATGTCCCTGCAAAAGTGCTTTGGAAGTGTTCACAATGTAGTATTTTTCCCTGCTTAATTAACTCACCCACCCACCAACATTTTATTCATGCCACGTGTTAGTCTCTGACTGCAGGTACCCATTTCCCAGGTGGTTTGTGAGCTGTACAGTAACTGCGAACAGCAAGCGGGGGTTCTGTTATAGGGCACCCATGAACTGGAAGGAAACTTGTCCCATGAACTTACGAGTCTGGTGACTTGGAGTAGCCACTGCCAAAGAGGCTGCGCAGAGAGCGTGGCGGCGAGATCTTGGCGTCTCGGGAATAGAAGACCATGCACACGTCCTTGGTGATGACCGCAGGCTGGATGCAGTGGTCCAGCTGGAAGCAGAGCGGTGCTGAGTGAGCACAGGCAGGGCTGTGAACTGCCATCTGGAGAGCCACGGCTCTGCCAGTCTCCGCAGCAACCCAACAGTAAAAAGGGCAAGGCCAGGTGCTCTGGCTGGTGCCTGCGTTTATTCTGAGGTTAAATACTGCCATCACCCCTGCTGGTACGGGGGAAGCCCTAGGCACAGAGAGCTTGTCCAAGGACACAGGCAGGAGACGGCAGCATGGGGATTTGAACTCAGGCTGTTTTCAGGATCTGTGCTATTAAACTACTACTAGGCTCTGTCACAACCATGAAAATGAGGTGAAGCTTTTCTTGTTTTTTCTTTCTTTTTTTATTTGTGGTATTGGGGATTGAACCCAGGACCTTTGCACTGAAACATATATAAATAATTTTGAGACAGCATCTAAGTTGTCCAAGCTGGCCTCAAACATGGCATTCTTCTGCCTCAGCCTCCAGAGCGCTGGGATTGCAGGTGTGCACCACCACAAGCAGCCTGTAAAGTTTTCTAAAGTCATTCATTCATAAAGAATGGTGGCTGGGCTACTAAGGTCTACACCATCATAAAAATTGTCATCTGTTGATTAAATACAGGCCAGAAACAGAATCTAGTATCATCCCAACAGTCAGCAAGCAGAATAAAAGAAACAACGGGGCGCAGGAAGAGAAGAGGAAGAGCAAGTGGGCTCTTGGCCACTGCTTCCTCTGTGGAAGCTCTGCATGTCCTCACCTCCAGGTAGGCGGACAGGGTCATGTAGATCTTCTCTCCGTAGGGCGTCACTCGGTTCAGGAGAAGGGAGTTATGGAGGGAGCTGTCCCACACGGCCTCGAAACGGTAGAAGGTTCTGGGATTGGAGAGAGGACGGGCTGACCGGGCAGCAGCCATGACCGAGCCCAAGCCGCTCCTGTCAGGGATCAACTGTGCTCTCACGCGCAGCGCGCTAACAGAGGGAGCCCTTATCTTGGAGCAAACGGGAGGGACACTTAGCTGTGCTCACTTTTTTCTTTTGGACCATGCCTAGGAATATAAAAACAGTGAGCAATCGGAGGGACTAAGCTGAGAAGGATGAGCGAGACTGGACAGATCTGAGAGAAGACAGACAGAGAGAGCGGCCCGTCCGTCAGTGACGATGCAGGAGGAAACACCTGCTGTTCACAGCGCAGCCTCCACAGCCCCAGAGCTGCGCTCAACACTCCCCAAGGCCTCAGGACATCACACTCGCATCTGAGAGGCCAACAGGTTGGAGAATGTAAGTGTACAGAGCTTTATTTTGAAAGAAGAACAAGAGCTGATGGGTGTTGCGGTAAAAGAGAAGGACTTTTAACACCACAGCCAATCGGCTACCATTTGTTAGTTTTCAAAAGAGCCATCTGAAAAGTCAATTTAGAGTCAAGAAAGAACCAAAAGCTAATTTGGTAGACACCACAAACCAACTTTTTCAGTTGTTCTAGAATCATTCTCCCTCCAGGCCTGGCCAGGCCCAGTCCACCTGGCCGGCAGAGCACAGCTCGCTCCTCCGCACCCGGTCCCTCCTCTCCTCACGCCTGCCCAGGTGGCTGCAGCCTCACCAACAGGGCCTTCACTAGATTCCTGCGACAACCGGCACAGGGGTTCTTTGTCCCGACACACCCACGCCTCTTCCTCCAGACGTGATGAGCAGAGAAGACGGCGCACATCTGAAAGTCAACCCCTCGACCAGGCCTCAGCCTCCGGGAGCTACATGAGGTATGGTCACTCACTTCATAGCTGCTTCTTACTGCGTCCTCTCCTGCTACATGGTTCTTTCTTGACTGTCTAGCTTTGAGGCAGCAAGTGTGGGTTGAGAGAACTCTACAGAGACACCGGAGAAACACAGAGGCAATAACAAGGCTAAGGCACAGTTGCCATAGGCTCCAACAGCAATGGATGTGACGGACAACGGGAGCCTCTCCATGGCTCCTGGGCTCAACAAAAACCCTTCACACAACCACAAAGTCCTGTTTAAATCCAATCTTAGTTTTTTTGTTCATTTGTTTTGGGGGTTTTTTCTTTTTTTTGAGACAGTGTCTTGCAATGTAGTTCAGGCTGGCATTGGACTCACTATGTAGCCCAGGCTGGCCTGACCTTTCAGCAATCCTCCTGCCTCAGCCTCCTGAGTACTGGGACTACAGGGCATGCACTACCTCGCCCGGGTACTTGTTTCTGCCAGTAAAATTTTAATGGTAGGCTAAGTGAAAACTGAACCTAAAAACAGAAGTGTACATAACTTCCCTACACAAGTTTAGATCACTGCCTCAGTTGGAAGAGTCAAGAGTCATAAAAGGCTGAGTGTGGTGGTGCACACCTATAATTCCAGCACTTGGGAAGCTGAGGCAGGAGGACTGCCTTGAGTTCAAGGCTAGCCTGGACTACATAGCAAAACCCTGTTTAAAAAAAAAAAGAATAGAAACAAGGAAATTTTAACATCACTAAATTCTTTCTGTACTGGAAAAAAGAGTTTCTTTTTGTTTCATTTCGGAGTTGTGGCAACTGTCTCTGCAGGAATACCCACTTATGTGGCAGTTCTTGAGAAGAGCTTTAAGAAACGGACCGATGAAAGCGAGGTTAGTAACAGCGCTGAGTCCTGACACCTGCTCTCCTCCTGAGGGGTCAGAAAATCACCTCTGCGCCACAACCAACGGCAGCATCGAGGAGAGAGGTGTGAGGGGACTGAAGTACACTGCATGCTCACTTGGTGCTATTAACTGTGAATTAAGAATGAATTTCTTATGTTAGGGTCACATCTGTGGGCCTCTATTCTTTTACTGTGGCACTGGGGATCAGCTCACAGGTGCCAAGCAAGTGTTGCACCCCAGCTGCACCCCAGCCCTGCAGCACCCTCCTGCACCCACTGGGAGCACCTGTGACGTGAGCCAGCTGGGACCCAGACGGAGCTACAAACTCCTCGTCCTGAGAGCAGCAGTCAAATCACATCCCAGGCTGGACTGTCACATCTTGCTTCTCAGCTTGCTTCCCGTGAATGAGAGAGAGAGAGAGAAAGAGAGACACGGGGGAAAGCCAGGACTGTTTCTATTCCAAAAGAACAAAACAAATAAGACTCATGTTTAAAAATATGTGAGACATTTCTTCTCAAAGACTCAGCTGCGCACACAGCCAGACTGGTCTCCACACCTCCCAGGAGAAAACAAGGAAGAAAGCGAGCAGTTCTGCAAGGCCACAGAACAATAAATCTTCCATATGTTTGAGAGAGGACAGGCAAGAGAGAAGGGGAGAATAAAGTCTGAGAGTCCAGGAAAGGGGGGGTAGAAAGTTCTACTTTGTAATGTAGAAGAGGAAAACCTGAATAGGCAAAAGAACAGAATGGCCAAGTTGAGTAAATGGAATGAGAAGTAATTGAGAGCTCTAAAAATCATTTATGTTATATGCTAAAGTGTATAATGTAAGAAAAGTTCAGAGCACAAAGATCAGTTTTAGGGTCCAGGGTACAGTCTTGCTGTGTGCTAGGTCCAGCTTAGGTCCACAAGGAGAATAGGCCCCTACACTGAAAGGGCAATCAAAGCCACACAGACAAAAACATTCTGACAAACCAGACTCTCTACGTGCAAAAAAGCAAACACCAGGGCTGCGGATTTAGCTCAGTGGTTCCAGCACCTACCTTGAAAGCGCAAGGTCCCGAGTTTGATCCCCCGGTACCAAAAAAAAAAAACAAAACCAAAAAACTAAAAAAGCAAACACCTAGGAATATCCTTATCAAGAAAGAGCCTGCAAAAACACAGAAAAGGCTTTCCTTAGCACAGCAAGAAAAAACAAGAAAAATAAAAAAGAGAAGCACACACACACATACAAAAGACTAATACAATCTGCTAAGGAGCACAGTGACGGAAAGTGGACTGGGGACACAACATGGCAAAGGCCTCACGGTGACACTGACTTCTCCTGGGGGGGTACAGAGAGGCGTGGAGACCACGTTCCCAACACCTCAGCGGGGACCTGGCACCAGGACTGGCACTGAGAGAAAGCCAAACTAACGAATCAGCACAACTGTAGGATGGGGAAGAAGGAACAATGGTCCTCCTCAGTCATCCTCCACCGTCAACGCATCAGAGAAGCCTTCTGAGACACACGCGCCATGTACTGGAGCTCTGCCATCCAGCGGAAACGTGGCGCCTCTGACAGAATGGAGCCTCCCTTGGCCAAACTCATGTAGCAACTCAGCATATTAACGCACGTCCTCCATTTCCTAGACTCTAATGCCTAACGTCCACACTGCACACAGGTCTCCTGCATCCAGACAATCACGCCCAAGAAGAGGCTACACAGAGGCCCCAACCTGTTTATACCACTTGCGTTTATCAGGATCACCTAATCTGACTAAACATTAAGAAATCAATGAAAAGGTGGCCCACGCCTGTAATCTCAGGACTTGGGAGGCTGAGGCAGGAGCATCTCCATGAGTTCCTCAACCTCTGGAGTGCTGGGATTATAGGTAATACCACCACACTTGGCTATTATTCTTGACTTTAACCAACTCTTTTTTCTTCCCCTGCAATGTTGGGGATTAAGTCCTGGGAGCACTCAGCTATAGCCTAATCCCTTTTATTTTGAAACAGGGTCTTGCTAAATTGCCCAGGCTGCCCTTGAACCTGTGATCATCCTGTCTCAGTCTCTCAAGGAGTTTGGATCCCACATTCTTTTGATTAACTAACTCTAAGCTTCTACTGCACAAGAGAAGCTGCTTCTAACAAAGTCATGCTGACTTCCTACAGCACCTGACCTGCTGCTGGGTGAGAGTGTGAGGGCCTTTCAAGGTCACTCTAATGCAGGCGAGCTAAGCTCACCAGCATTTCAACCAACACCACCTTTCCTGAGTGTCTTGCTAAGTATCCTAGGGAAATTTAAGATGCTTTTTTATAATTGCAAAGCAAATCCAGTGGTGAACACCAGCTGAACACTGGCTTTAAAAGTCTGGCAAAAGAGATAAAACCATGTGGAGTGACTGCTGCCATCAGGGAAATGGTAGTGGCCACGGCTCTGCCGGGGAGGGGAGAGAGCCCCTCTGTATCTGTGCCATTTCCTCCATGGCACACACCCCTTCCTGACACTCCTTCCTCTTTCCTCAGGCCCCCAGCTCCTCTTCCACAGAAAAGAAAGCAGAAATGTGTTCCTGTTTTCTGTTTCCTATGCAAAATTGAAATACAAGGGGAAAAATGAATCCTGGCCCAATTTTTCACCCTGTTTCTGCCCGTTGTCTTACTCCCAACACAGATATGAGTACACTTTTCAGAGCAGACAGAGCACAGGGGACTCAGCAGGTGAAGGTGGCCACCCAGAACTCCTGGCAGCCCCTGCTCCCCAGGCCTAAGGGGACAAGGAACATGGTCTTTCCCGGGGAGCAGAGGACCCAGCAGCTTGAGTCTCAGTTGCACACAGGAAGCAGGATGGCCACACATTTCATGCATATCTGTCATCCGTGTTGAAAAAGGGTAAAGAAAAGCTAGTTTAACATGTCCACGACAGGGCCATAATTAGTATGTCTCATGTGATGTCAAATAGCCAATCACCCATGGTGCAAGCCAGTGGGAATGTGTTAAAGTTGAAAATAAAATGTGTTATTTAGAGCAGCCAGTCTTGGTCCTAAGAGTTTACATTAATTTGTCAACATGAAGTGTGAGCGAAAATGAGAAGCAAGTGCTATGTGAGCCTACTCCAGCTGTGGCAAAAGCAAACAGAGAGGCTTCACTGTCCCTGGAGTGCCCATGTCCATGCCACTTAGGAGTGACAAAGCTTCCTCCACAACAGCCAGGTCACCAGAAGCAGTCAGCCTCCGCATAACCCGTACTTTAAACCCCAGGCGGCGTGAACTTTGCTTTTTCTTTTTCACTGAGTTACATATCCTCCAACTCCACTTGGGATGCAGTGTTTCCATGCCCTCATGGTGACTGAGTACACAAGCATCTCGTCACTGCTTTCTTTCTTTTTGGAGAGCAGGAGGGTGTGGGAGGAGGCAGGGATTTCCGAGGTGAGACAGCACAGGAAGCCATTAAGAAATAAGGGATCTGACGTGGTACCTACTGCTCACGGTGCCCTACCTGCTGGAGTTGTGCGAAGACTTCAGGTACTTGGCAGAGATGATATTTAGGGAGAGGATGGCATCGACTGCAGCTTCATCCACCTCGGGCTTATTTCTAATCCGGCCTACAGGAAAGGATGAAAGCAAGAATATATCTCTGTAACTGCAGCTGCTGGAAGAGCATGTGGTCAGCCACAGGCTCCTGCCTGTTTCCACAGCCAGCTCCCTCCCACCCCCATATAGCCAGCTGAGAAGCCTGACCCCTCACATTTACCCCAGCTTTTATTTGCAATGACACTGCCCCGCTCGCAGAGGCCACCTTCCCTTTGATCTGCAAGCAGCCAGCCATTCATCTGGTCCCTGGCTCTGCAGCTCCCCTGCTCCAACCTGGCTCACGCTCATCTTGTACAAACTTCTTTAGTCACTGACTTCACTGTACCACTTTCTTGCTCAGAATGCTACAGCTCTGCTCCCAAATTAACACTTCGGGGCACAGCACTGCACGGACGGTAAGGGCATCTTGGCACGAGCTGGACTATGGCTCAATCAAGGCTCCTTTCCTCTCCAGCTTCAAGCTGCTGGCATTCTGCTCCTCCTTCTCTGAGCCCCGGTTTCTAACAACACCAAGTCTTCCCTTATGTGACTGTCACGAGGGTTAAACAACATTTTAGAGCATTCAGAAGGTACCAGGAACACGGAGCCCACCAATCAAATCCCAGAACTCTTCGGAGAAGCCTACAGCCACTGCCTCTGCATCCTCCCCTACACTTTTTGACCAAAAAAATCTTTTCTGTCCTGTTTATTAGGGCTCCATATAAAAATTAATTCTGAAAAAACTTGAAAACAACAGCCCCTGGCAGGAGAGAGTAAAATCTCCCTTCCGGGGTTCTTAATCTGTGGAGACAGCGGATCTGTGGACAGAACTAGAAGCATCCATTGGCTTGGATGGGAAAAAAGATTGTATCTTCAGGATCTCACTTTGTAGTTCAGGCTGGCCTCCAACTCACAGGGACCCTCCTGCCTCAGCTTCCGGAGAAAAAGATTACATCTCTAACTGAAATGTGGCGTTTTCCTTGAACTCTGGAGGGCAATGAACCAGAAGGGATTTGCAGCGCTGGTGACCCTGTCTTTTGCAGAAACCAGGATGTTTCCCCATCAAATTGTCCTAAAATACCTTTTCCATTCCTCACCATTGTGAAATGATACAAACTAGATTCACTATTAGATCCTGTTATTTAATGTAACAATAAAGAAGAACTCATATCATGAGTCTGTTTAATTCTTCTTAGGTTATATTTCAATTCATTCGTTTCCTTTCTAACCCTATATACTTTATTTTCCTCAGTTAAAAACATAACTCTGAGCCAAGTGTGGGCATTGTAATGTAAACTGTGCTTGTAATGCCAGCACTCAGGAGGCTGAGGCAGGAGGATCAACATGAGTTCAAGGCCAGCCTGAGCTACAAAGTGATTCAAGGCCAGCCTAACTACATAGCGAGACCGTCTCACAAAACCATAATTCTGAGGCTTTGCCACAGCCTAAGAGGTCATGACAACAAAAGGTTCTGCACCGCTGCCTCAGACTCCATTCTACAGCTCACACTGGGTCTATGGCCACATGGGGGTCTGCAGCCACACAGTGGCGATGTGCCTCATTTCCCCACTCTGCCATTTGCACGTCAGGCACATTCCTGCCTTTCTTACTCCAACTATTTGTATCAGAAAACAAAGTAACAAGACCCTTGCAATTCTCCTGCACCTGTTCAGAGCCCTCCCCTCAAAGTTACTCTAGTCCTCCTCTCCGATGGCCTTTGGTGCTAATTCTCTCAGCAGGGGCCTTCTTCCCTTGTCCTCAATTTGGTGCTCACTCATGCAACTGTTTTGTACATGTGTCTGTTGTCTCCCCAACTAACTGCAAGCTCATAATGAGAAGAGACTTGGTTTAGGTCCTCTCCCCTCATCCAGCAAAGAACCATACCCATTGTAACTAGGTAAAACAACGGATTAGATGGAGGAGAGCTGAGAAGTGTTTCACTGCGCACGCGCATGTGCGTGTGCGTGATATGCTTGGGATCAGGGCCTGGCCTTGTACCTACCAGGCAAACGCTCTGCTGCTGAGCTGCACGCTCAGCCCTTCGATAGTGTTCCAAACTCAAGGCCTTCATACCCTAAGGCATGATACTCTGAGCATCAGGCTCTGCCCTCAGCTGGAGGAGTGCACTCACCTACCACCAGCTCCCGGACGTCTTTCCAGTGCAGCTCACTCCCCTTCTCGTGGATGATGGTCACTGTGATCCTTCGCTGGATGCCCTGGGTGAGGGAACAGGGGTGCAGTTCAGCTGGGGCACCCCATCATTTCCTCTTGCTTGTTTTCTGGACTGTATGGTGGGGATGGGCAGCAAGGAGAGGTATGGAGAGGGAGGGGAAAGCTGTCCTCACCAAGGGGACGGGTCAAGCCGTGAGCACCAGTCAGTCAGGTTCTGACCAGGTCTGAAGAGCAAGGCCCTGCTGGGATGTGAGTGCGGGACTCCCAGCCCCATCCCCCCTGGGGCAGCAGTTCTGAGCACTGAGTGCACTTGTTTTTGATTTACCAAAGGGGATGTTACATTTCAAAGTCTAAATTATAGCCCGTTAAATTTAAAACTGTTATCCTTTACCTCTGTTAAGAACAAGCTTCCAAACATTACGAAAGGCATAAAAAAGCAATATGGGAGCTGCACAAATTACAGTAATTGAAGGAAATAATTTTTTTTCAAAATAGCTATTCTAAAATATAAAGTAAGGGTACATATAAGCTAAGGTCTGAGGAAGAAACATTAAAAACAAAACAGTTCAGGGCCAGGGATTTAGCTCAGTGGTGCCACTGCCTGCCTCGCAAACACAAGGTCCCAAGTTCGATCCCCAGTACCAACCGCCGCCCCCCCCAGCCCTGAGTTCAATCTCCAGCACAGGATAACAGGTCAACATCCCCTCCCAGCCCCCATCTTTGAAATAGAGATAAAAGTTGAGAAAAAGAAAGCTCTGTTTCTTATCTAACATCTTTGGTGTTCCCTCCTAGGCCCTGTTTTGTTCCTGCCTTAGTACCTGGTGAAGCAGAAACGTCCCCTGGCAGGGTAACCCTGCAGTATGGTCAACCACAGCCGGGATGTACCTGAAAGAGAAACGCAAAGGACAAAAGTGTGACTGGACCTTCGAGGCCTTCCCTGGTCACTGCAGCCCATTTAATCACTCATCCATCCGCATCTACAGCTGTTTCCACTTATAGACATCTCGCCATCCTTACTAACATGCTCAAAGGACAGCAATGTCGTTTGCTTCCACCTCTGCCCCTTGCATAATAAGAATTCAGTAAGCAATGGATTGAGTGCAATGGCAACTGACAGGAAATACGCCCTCCCTCATAACACTGGTCATAATCACATTACAGATCTGTCTATGAAAGCTAAATTCCTCAACCGCATACAGGATTGATGTACCAGTGTCTTATGCATGGTAAGGACTTAATATTAATAGTTCCTGGTCCAAACACAATGGTGGTTCTCAGCATTTATACACAGAGGAACATTTGGTAACTGTTTTTTTGTTTGTCTGAGACAAGGTCTTGCTATTATAGTTCAGGCTGGCCTTGAACTCAAAGCAATCCTCCTGCCTCAGCCACTGGAGTGCTGTGTGCCACCATACCCAGCACATTCAGTAACATCTATCCCCTGCCTTTTACATGAACTGATACAGCCCCTTGCCCCTGTTTCAGAAGTAGGATCTCTTCTGTGTTTTTCCAAAAGCCTTTAGTGATAACAATAAATAATAATTATACTCATCACATTCTAACACAGCTCAGAGAGACGAGTAAGCTGATGTTGATCACACTGTTCTAAAACAGGGGTTCCAGGCTGGGGATTTAGCTCAGCGGTTTTGTCACCTGTTGCGCAAGCACAAGGACCCGAGTTTGATCCCTGTTATCAAAAAAACAGGGGTTCCAGGGCGGGAATTTAGTTTAGTGGCACCTGGCCTGCCTTGCAAGGTCCTGAGATCAATCTCTGGTACCCCCCCCCCAAAAAAAAGTAAAACAGGGGTTCCCAAAAGAAGCCAAAAGCAGAAAGGTGACTTTGACCCCAAGGGACATTTGTCAGGCTCTGCCAAAATGTCTAGAGACATTTATGGTTGTCACAACTTCAGGGCAGGTGCTACTGGCATTTTGTAGACAGAGGCCAGGGATACTGCAAGACACCCTACAACATGGGACAGCTGCCCACAGTGGAGAATAATCTGGCTCAAAATAGTGCCACAGTTGAGGAGCAGTAGTCTGGGGGAACATTCTGCTGCAGACCCTTCCCTTAAGCAGGCAGCAGAACCACTGAGCTAAATTCCCTCCTTTGACTATATCTGCCACTGCCTACTCCTGCTGCTCTGCTTATGGTAAAACCACAATGTAATGCTCTGCCCTCAGAACCAAGTGCAGTCTCCACCTCCTTGCTGTTGCTAAAAAGGCAAATTTTTTTTTTTTTTTTTGTACTGGGGATCAAACTTGGGAGTTTGCGCTTGTGAGGCAGGCAGCAGAACCACTGAGCTAAATCCATGGCCCTAAAAAGGCAAATTATTATACTGGATATTCAGTTCTCTGGCAAACTTCTAATCAAAGAGATATACTAAGATCACAAAAATTCAATTAAAAATTGAATGCTGACAATGATAATGATTCATGAACATAAATAGAAGAGACTCAAAATTATATTTTCTAAACTTGAAATGCTTTATTTAAAAATTTACAAAGTTGGACTTACTCTCCTGTAGGCTCCAGTTCACTGATCTCAAACCAAACCAGGAGGTCATACTTGCTCATGCTTTGGCCGAGGCTGGTTTTGCTCATGGTGTTTAACTTGGTGGCTGGAACTTTCAAAAGTTTTTAGAAAATGTCAAAATTTGCCTTATTTACTTAGCAAAGCACAGGCTTCTCTAAAGTCAGTCTTCAAGGACATACTTGAGAAAGGCAGCAGAAGACCCAAAGAAACGTCAGTCAACTAAACTAGTGCCTCTGATTCGGAGAGCAAGGGGGATGGATGGCCGCTACCTTTCCTTCTTAAAAGACTGTCTCCAAAGATGAGAAATGGGTTTTGTGCAAAATAAATGTGTCCTATAAGACCATTAAAAAACCCTGGCATTCCAGAGGCTCCTGTTTGTGGCCTGTCATCACCTTGGAGAGCATGGGAGACCCAGGGCCTGGAAAGCACCTGGGGATGGCCTCAAATGCCCTGGGGTTCACGGGAACTGGTCAGTTGCAGCACATGCCCAGCTCCAGCCTGGGGCTCCCGACCTCCCTTTGCCTAGAGTCACCTGGGATTTTATTTGTTTTTGTGGTACTGGAGATTGAACCCAGGAGCTTGCACTTGCTAGGCAAGACTGAGCTACATGGTCACATGGTCACCAGGGATCTTAAAGATGGCAAGGCCCAGATTACTCAAATCAAAGTCTCTAGGATGGGACAGTCACTCATTCTAGGCTTATGTTTCCCAGGTGATTCCAACATGCAGTCAGTTCTGGGGACCACTGGTTTAATCTGTAAATGAGCTTCTATTACATATTCTTCAGCTTTAAATCCCTCTTCCTGATAGCACTGATACTCTGTGACTTTAGTTAAGATGCCTGCCCTCTGTTAGTTTGTCTCAATTTATAAAATGCAGGTCATAACATATACGTTGCTAACTTGAAGAGGTATTGTGAAGGCCACAACATAATCCATTTAGGGGCTTTATGAATCATGCAGCACTATTCAAGCAGGCCACCTATCAGCAGTACTCGCCCAGCTGGGCTTCACATGCCCTGTGATACTAGCCAGGAAGAGAGTGAGGTCACTGTTTCTGGCAGCCAGATGAGGGGCAGTGGACTAAACCACAGGTACTACGAAAACAAGGACAGGGGGTGTACCTCAGGGGGAGAGCACCTGCCTGGCATGCATGAGGCCTTGGATTGGATCCCCAGCACCACGGAAAAAATCAAAGCCCAAACCAAAACCAAAACCAAACAAAAAAACAACTACTAATAAAAATCTTTAAAATTAAGAAAACTATTGTAGACAAAGAAAGATCAGGAGCCCGCTCCCCTGGGATGACGTGGAAGAGGTCGAGGTGGAGGGGCTTCCTAAAGCCTCTCTGAAGGAAATGTGGTGTGACTCGGACAGTGTGCTGAACTCTACGGTTAGCTTGAGAAGCAGGTAGAAACGTCGATGTTTCATTCCCTGTGAGCCAGGCCTGAGGGCCAGCCCCGGAGGTTGGTTCTACATCTAGGGCAGAGCTAAGGCAGCTACTAACCATCTCGTTTGGGTACCCTCTCACTCTGGCAGCTGGGCACTGGCAGAAAGAGAAAAGGCGGCACTGGGTCAGCCTTGTTCTGGAAGGTGCCGACAGCAGAGGATGCAAGCACACTGGCATGCTCAGAAAGCATGTCCAGCACATGCACATTCACAGAGCCAGACATGAGAAACCAAATCAGCTCAATCTTTCGTTCATGGTCTGAAGGCCGATGGAGATGGAGATGAGAAGCACAGAGGACGCAGAATGAGCACGGGTGGGATGAGTGTGGCAAGGGGGCAGGAAGGAAAATGGATGAAAAGAAAGAAAAATCAAAACAAGACAAATGAGGAGGAGCAAGTTCTAGTACTCTAAGGGGTGAGCAGAATTAACATTAATGTATATTTCAAAACAGCTGAAGAGAAAATTTTGAATAGTCTCACTCCAAAGAAAAGATAACTGTTGAGGCTGTGAGAAATGCTAATGGCAATGACATACACATGCATCGCCCAGGGTATACATGCACTAAACAAAACGCATGCAGTTACTGCTTGTCAGTCTGCTCTAAGGAAAACAAAACAACAACAAAAGCAACATGATTGAATATGCAGAATATATTTAACACATGAGGAAATACTCAGTCACTGACAGGGGTTACACACAAAACAAGGGGATTTAGGGAAAGGGAGGTTATAAAAATCTGCTGAGAAGAGCAGAGAACCAACAGAGATAGGGCCCTATTACTTCTTACATCTGGAACCAAGAATTCCAGTTCCTGCTAGGTGCATTCGAGAGGAGCAGGAATACATAAAGATATGCAGAAGAGGAGGAAGAATTCCAGTGTGGTTTTTATCTGGACACTCAGAACAAGGATGTGTCGACACAGAGGAGATTGGGCAGAGTAGAGCTGTGCTCACCTGGCTTGGAGAGTGGCATGGGTGGAGGGAAGAATCGTCGAGAAGGCTGAGGCGGACTGCAAGGAGAGAAAGATAAATTTCTTTTTGGATTTTTTTTTTTTTTGGTACCAGGGATCGAACTCAGGTCCTTGTGCTTGCGAGGCAGGAAGCAGAACCAGCAAGCTAAATCCCCAGCCTAGGAAGATAAATTTCTTCAGCGCTTTAGAGTTGGATGCTGATATTAATGGCATGTTTCAACTCTGGCATGATATGGGCTATCAGACATAATCCCACATAGTAACACAGGCTAATGCATCTTAATTAAAATTCCCCTGTGATTCACAGCTAATAATAAGAAAATTCGTCTGTTAATGCTAACACCAGCACCATCCAGAAACCTGTCCTGCTCTCCTCATCTATTCTGATAATTCCACTTACAGATTCTATTTCATAAAACTGAGGGTTTTTAGGAACACTTTTCATGTTGTATCCATATTACCCCAACTTCCTACCCTATTCAAACTCCTTGCACAAAGAAGTGGCAAAGCTCAGGTGGGCAAACTCCAATTTGCTCTGTCTAAAATAGTGATTAGGAAGCTAGAAAAAGGTAGTAAAGGCCGGGAATTTAGCTCAGTGGTTCCACTGCCTGCCTCACAAGCACAAGGTCCCGAGTTCGATCCCTGGTACCCTCCCCCCCCAAAAAACCTTCAATTGTCCGTGGGGATTTAGTACAAGGGCATACAGGTCAGAAGCCTTAAGGGTAATGTAGACAAAATGATTGATTTTTATAAAAAAGAAAAGAAAAAGGTAGTAAATTTTTTCAAAAGGAAATTCAAGGTAATATATAAAGTGCCATTTAGTTATCTGAATCCCTCAAAAGAGTTCTTCCTTTCCAGCAACTGAGAAACTAAAAATCCAAATTGTCATAACCAAAGTCTTTGCTTATCTGGTCCAAACCTGCTAAGGTCCTGTCCTTGCAGATGAAGTGGGTGCTGCTGATAATGCCCAAAGACTTCAAATACAATAGGCTTGGTTTTGATATAGTCCACAAATGACTCTGTGACCTCCACCGCAATCTAATAAGGAATAAAGCCAAATAAGGTTAGTGAAAGATTTGTTACAAGAAAGTACACATTTTTGCTTTAAGCGGGACTTTAATACCACAAAGCCTGAGTATGTCCTGGAGGTTCACTTGAGCAGGCCTCTTTGTCCTACATACAGCCACTCAGCTCCAGCCATGAGGAGGCCCCACTGTATGCCCCAGATGAGCTCGCCCCTGCTGCCCTTCGCCCACTTACTGCTGCAGCTCACACTCACCTGCCGCTGCTCCTTCTCCCACTCTCTCCTTCCTGCCAGGAAGGCCCTTCCTATACCCCAAGCACCTAAGTCATTCCTAACTTTCAAGGACAGATAGCTGTTCACTACCAGCCAGGCACAGGGGCAAGATTTTTTTTGTTTTTTTTTGTTTTTGGTACCGGAGATGGGAGATCGAACTCGGAACCTTGTGCTTTCAAGGCAGGCGCCAGAACCACTGAGCTAAATCCCCGGCCCCATAGGGCCAAGATTGACACAGCCTTCCTTACAAATACCACCTTCTCCAGATGGCTCTCTACCTCTTCTCTCCGTCCAACTTTTCCCTCCAACCAAAAAAGGTAATGTACTACATCTTTGCACATGGAAATAACTTTCCCTTTCTCTATTCCCACCGCATGTAGTGGATACTTTCCCCAAGTTGCTCCATGTGAACAACAGCATTTTACTCCCCTAGCACAATTCGAAGCTCCCCGGGGGCACCGGTGATTCATCTACACTCCCCAGACGTGTCAGGCATGGCATTCATGCACAGCAGCTAGTCAGGACTTATTCAATACACATGGATGCACAATGTACAACCACAAAAAAGAAAACAGGGTGTTTCGTGTTTGCTCCATCTTAGGCGCTGTCGTTTCCTCCGTTACTTTACAGAATGGACATGATTTGCCAAGTGGTTGAGAGAGTTTCATGTAGTAGTGAAGATCTGGATGTTAGAGCCACATCTCTCTATGATCTCAGCCCATTCCTAGCTTTGTAACCTTAGTGAGTGATTTTCACTGCTTGGTGCCTCAGTTACCTCACCTGTAATATATGGATTATTAGTCTATGGTGTAACGGTGAAGATTAAATGGCACAGAAAATACTTAGAATAGGGACTGACACAAAATCAGTTCTCAATGAATGTAGGCTGCTGTGATGAAGATGGCTTGGGATCAGAGTTCAAATGGAATTTCATGCAGAGATGGGAAATCTGCTTCCCTATTCCATGTGTAAAGAAGGCTGTAAGGGGCACTAGTGGGTTGATCATAGCATTAGCTACAAGGGAAACAGACTTTGAGTCTTCATTTAGCTACAGAAGTGGTTTAATATCATCTACATTCCTTGCAACCAAACAATGTAAGAATTCTACAGTTTAAAGGCCAATCCATTAACTTTGACAAAACTGGCATTAAACATGCTGTTTTTCTAAGACAGAAGCATGGAAACAACTCACTTCATTCAGACTGATGGAAGATTTTATTGCTGGACTAGCTAGCCAGCTACTGAGCCTATTGTCATTCTGATAAGAGGCTGGCCGCTCTGTCCCTGAGGATGACCTCACTGCTCTGGCCACTCCCTCTATTGTCCACTCTCTCCGTGACTCCTCACCCCCAACCACAGTGTTACCCGATCAGCTTTCTGCAGCAGATAAAGGCACCACAAACCCGGATGTGTTTGGCAAAGAGGTCTGGGTCACTCACATTCTGCACATGATAAAAGCCCAGGGGACTTCCTCTGCCGTTGTTTTTGAGGGGTTCAGTGGAGAACGCTTCATCATGGCGATGCAAGAAGCTTAATAAAAAGAGAGGTGAATGTTGCATAAAATAATTTCCTTAGGACCTCTGCTTTAAGAATCCAACTTGGATCAACAATAAGAAGCATGCTACTTAGGCAGATTCTCAACTGATCAGTTATTTGCATTTCCTTCTCAAGAACATTTCCCATATCATATAGACACCATTTTAAATTTCACTTCAAAATGACAAAAATAACTGACCCTGATCACTCAGCTATGTGGATGTATATGCAAGAATGCTTCAAGTGAAAAAGTGAATCCAACCAACTCCTGTTCTTTTGTCTAAGTTTTTATTGCAAATAAAAACAATGAAATAATTTTGTGCAGAAAAAATGTGGCAGATTCCGGCTTCTGTGAGGTAAGACTAAAAGCCTGTGTATGGTGCACATGGCCAGCAGCCTTTCACATACCCAGTCAAGAGCGGATTCCAATGTCTCCTCTTCCAGAAAGCACCCCCCAACTCAGACCTCTCTGTAACAATGTACTTATGGGCCTGTCTTCCTTCCTGACAGACAGCAAGTGTTTTCCCACAGGGCTTGATGCAAAGAAGACACCCTAGAAATACTTGTAGAATCATCGGGCTATGTTTACTTATTTTCACAAATAATGAGCCGCTATGTTCTCCCTCCCTATTATTAGTCTGAAATAAAAAGAAGAGGAGAATTAAAGAATACTCAACACAAAGATTTACTGCTGGATAGAAAAATCGATGAGAAGGACCCCTTGGGCTGGGGCAGAGGGTGTGCTTAGCATGCATGAAGGCCTGGGTTCAATCCTTAGCACCAAAAAGTAAATAAAATAAAATACCACTGACACAGCACAGAAAGAAAAAAGGAGGGAGAGGAAGGGAAATACTCTGACCCGTAGTATGGACCCCTTATCTCCCACATGAGCTCACCGAGCCTGAGAACAGCAGCCTACTGCAGTGCAGTGCTCCAGTCACTGCTACCAGGATGGGACGGCTGGCACTGCTGCATCTTGTGCTGCGAGCACCCTTGGCTGCTTGCTGCTTCTCCTTTTCCCTCATATCTCTTCCTTCTCCTCTTCCTACTTACTTTGCCCCATTTTTTCATCTCCTGACTACACATCATACCTACCAGACACACCCCATGGGCATCAGTGGGCCTGATCTGCCATTGTCAGTGCTACAGAGCCTGTGGGCTCCTGGTGAGTCAGGATCTCCGGGGCATGGCCACATGGAAGCCTCTTCCCTCCACAGGCCAGCTGGGAGCCAAGTAAAGCCCAGGGAACCTGAGACTTCTTCCTCCAGGGTCACAGACTCTCATCTCCACAGCTAACACCAGATGGAGGTGATGTTTTTTCAGGGTGTGAGGACAAAGGGTGACACTCCTAATGTCATCTCAGACATCAGTGAACCAAACAGGTGTTAGGTGTTTTCCATAAAACGTATCACCTGGCTCATCAGAACAACAGTGAAAGCCCTCCCATTCATCTAGCCATGTCTGTCCTACTGGAATGGAGGGTGTTAGTGAAATCAAGACTGGACTGCTGATACGTCAATGACAATCACGAGTTACAGCAAACAACATTAGTGCCTTACTATGCAGTGATCACACTGGACACAACAGCTGGCTACATCCTACATAAAAGCAATGCTTCAGGAACTGCATGGGACCCCAGGAAGGGAGCACACACATGAAGGGTGGGGACGGTGGAACTCTATGGCAGCTGTGGTGGCACCACTGGCACAGGGCAGGCCGTAGGTACAGAGGGGCTAGACTTCTTTTTCTGGTATTGCAGCCCATACCGGAAGATATATTGATGTGTGGAGGTATAGAAACTTTAAGATTCATGGGAAGTGATTTTCTAGGGAGTTCTTGGGAAGGAAGCACCTAGAGGACAGGGTTTCAGGGTGCTTTGGGATAGAAAAAGCTCCTAGGTAGATGAGAAACGAAACTGCCACGTCTTTTCTACAGATTAGCTTTTCTTAATTGTTTTTTTGGGTTTTTTTGGTACCAGGGATTGAACTTGGGTCCTTGCACTTGCGCAGCAGGCAGCGAAACCACTGAGCTAAATCTCAGCCCAGCTTCTCTTAACTGATGCAGAAATTTATTCTTTATATCATTTAAATTTTCCTTTTCCCAAGTATTAAGTAGGCAAAACTGGTGGCTGGATAATCAACTACTTTACCCTTGTTTATCAAGCAGCTACCTATTTCAGCACAAGGGAAGTGGATCTGGATCTGAACTTGTGTTCCCAGCCAGCCCTCCCCACAAGGAATCCCATGTCATCCAGAGCAACTTTTGCCTCATACTCTCATCTTGAATGAAGAGAGCATCTTCCTTTAGAGCCCAGCAGTCCCTCCAGAGCATCACTCTTGTCTCCTGTGTAAAGCTCTCAGCAGAGCGGACAGGATTGCTTACTTGAACTGACAGAAGATATCCGCATACTCGGGGAGGATCCCGCTGGCCTGCAACACTGTTACTCGAAAGGTAAAGGCACTGCCCAGTTTCAGGTGGTTGCCAATCTCTTCGGAAAACCCTTCCATCACCATCTTACCATCCAGCAAAGTGCCTGACTTCAAATCTAAGGAGGGGCAGGTGAACACACGTATGGTTCAAATAATGCAGAGAGGAAGGAGGTGGTATTCTTCCCATCCCTAGTCAATGAAAGCGACTGTGCCCCTTGACAGTGGTCAGTACCTCCCCTCTCAGAAAGGGCCCCCATGACAGTACACTCTGTCTACTTACCCCGATCATTCATTCGGCTGATTTCCTCTGGAGGAGTGATGACCTCAGAACTCTGACCCTGTCCTTCCACAATCCTCAGCTCCTCCAAGGACAGACCAGAACGAGTCATTGCAACTGAGGAAAAGTCACTCTGAAAGCAAGGCAGGGAAGTGCATGATAAAGTAACATAAAAATATATTTTCTACCAGGCATGGTAGCCCAAACCTGCAATTCCAGCACGCAGGAGGCTGAGGCAAGATGACCATGAGTTCAAGGCCAGTTTGGATGACACAACTCCCCCCATTTCCTCAGTTTTTTTTTTTTCCTCAGTTTCTTTGTGTTTATTTCCCCAACAAATAATATTGATTGGAAAATAATATATGTTAGATCTTTTTTTTTTTTTTGGTACTGGGGATCGAACTCGGGACCTTGTGCTTGCGAGGCAGGCGGTGGCACCACTGAGCTAAATCCCCGGGCCTGAAAATTATATACGTTGAGAACTGTCTGAGAAAAAGTGACATAATGATAAATTGATGTTGGGTCTTTACGTTTGTAGCTCTTTGGCACATCCCATGTCCTACCGAACAACTCTGAGGTTACCACAGCCTATATATATTTTTTAGTTCTTTTTTTTTTTTTTGGTACCGGGGATTGAACTTGGGACCTTGCGCTTGCGAGGCAGGCTGCGGCACCACTGAGCTAAATCCCCAGCCATGTATTTTTTAGTTCTAAGCACAGGAACTGGCCTCCAATGCTGTATGGTTTCCTCAGAAATCTATCCGGTCTCCTTTGCTTTTTCTCAAGGTGTTCTTTCATCCCAAAGGCTTCTCACCTGATAAAAGTATTCGTTATCAAAAGATATTTTAGCTGTTCCTGACTGTCGAATTCCAGAGCCATAATCCGGAGCTTCTTCATCCGCTAAGAAGAAAAAAAATCATCAAGGATGGAATGAGACTGCATATGCTGGTGGGGGCTGATTTACTGGATTATAAAATAAACAACAAAATCCTTTTGCATAAGAATGCTTAACGTGGAAGTAGCAAAATGACAGTGGCTGCTTCCAACTCTGTTCCTGTTGATTACCATGTTCCTTAGCTCATGTGAGACTAGCTAATAAAGAACTAGTTTTTGGGTTTTTTAAGGGGCTTCTGCTTTTGGTCTTTTTTCTTATTTGGTACAGGGAATCAAATTCAGGGCCTCATGCTTACCAGGCAGGTGCTGCACTGCTGAGCTACATCCCCGGCCCAGTAAAGAACTAGTTTTATTTTGGAGATTGTTCAAGTGCCACACCTGGAAAACTGACCCCTTTCCATTTTGGCAAGATGGTATTCAATAAAACACAACAAATACTTGAAAATATGCTGTACTTGTAAAGATGTCTATAAACTCAATATTGGTGACTATGTGACACGTTTCCATGAGAGAAAGGCTGAAACGTCACTAAACAGCACAGCATTTGGAAATTAAGACAGAAAAATGCAGGAACTGCCACATTCTTTTCTCAGAATGTCAACTGGATCATGGAAAAGTGGTGGAAAATATCCACCACTTGATGGATGCATTACAAAACAGTAGCCAAAGAAATATCTACTGGGAAAAAATTAGGCAAGAAAATCCTTCATTGCTTCTGAAGCAGTTAAAACATGTTATTTAAAATGCTGATGACTCTATGATGTTAATCCAAGAGTTGCCCTTAAAGGAACATGTTAAAGGAACAATCTCTTTTCCTTTAACAATGTTAAAGGAAATCTCTTTACTTCATTATTCCAAAATAGCAGTAGCCTGGATTAAACAGAATCTATTTATGTTACTTGAGGACAATGGCCAGAAAGGAAGCCCTAGAGGCCTTCTCCAAGCTGGATAAACACAGCTAGCTGTGTGTGGCCCCAAGAGTTGGCTGGCTTCATCTCCAGGCAAGGAGCCACGGTGCTCAGGATTTCAGAAGTGGGTCACCTACCTGCAATGGCCTGGACGGCCACACGCAGAAATCCCCGCACCTCCCCCTTCTCGCTGACGATGGCCACCCTGTGGATCAGGGGCACGGGGTAGAGCAGATTGCTCAGGTACACAAATGCCCTGGAGACAGAGACCGGGAGAGAGCCATCAGGGCACCCCGTGGAGAGAGGGGCCGGGCAGCCTCGCCAAGGAGACCCAAACTGAGCTGGCTGCTGGGCCTGGTCTTAAGATCAGCTCTCAGCCCTGTCCCCTCAAACTGACTGAGCTGCCTTATCTATACAGACAGGACATGAACACGTGCAAATGCTGGGCACAGCGGCGACAAAGACCAACTTATACCAGTCCCGCTCTATCAGACTATATTGCACATACACGAGTAACAACTGGAAGCAGACTTTCCAGACACCACTATGCGAGTACCACTGGTGGAGAGATGAGCCCATTAAAGAGCTTAACCTTAAAACATGAGAAATTACCAAGAGCCTTGGTTTTTCCCAAAAGACAAATTAGGATATTTTTTTTTAAAAGGCAGGGAGAGCTGGTGTGGTGGCGAACACCTGTGATCCCAGCGCTCAGGAGGCTGAGTTCAAGGCCAGCTTGAACTACATAGTGAGACCTTGTCTCAAGGAACCAAGGTAGTAGGGCAGGGAAATGCAACTGAAATACAGTTACTAACTCTAAAATAGCCTTCACATCCTAACATGATGGGTCTGTATTTTCCCTAGGACCATTACCATTAGGCAGGTTAAGCAATGAGTGAGGGAAGCAGCTGCTATAGGCAGAGGCTGTGATTTGGGAGCGTAGAAGACATTCCACCCAGGCAGCTGGATAAGTGTGAAGGGAGGCTGTCCCTACAAGGCTGGCTTTCCTTCTAGAGTCTAAAACCTAAGGTAAGTTCTAGGTCTAAACTTTATATTTCAAACTAGCAAAGTCCTATCGAAGTTGCTCCCCTGCTAAGTCTCACTAAGGTGCCAAGGCTGGATTCAAACTTGTCAAGATCCTTTTTTGGTACTGAGGGTCGAACTCGGGTCCTCGCACTTGTGAGGCAGGCGGTAGAACCACTGAGCTAAATCCCCAGCCCCCTGGATTCAAACTTGTGATCCTTCTACCTCAGCCTTCCAGAGTGTTGGGATTAAAGGCATAGGCCACCACAACTGGCTCATATTTTCACTTTTTCTTCTTTCATTATTTTGTAGGGATTAATCTTTTTTCTTTGGTACTGGGAATTGAACTCAGGACCTTGCGCTTGCCAGGCAGGTGCGGTGCCACGGAGCTAAATCCCAGGCCCTAGGTTTTGTTGGGGTTTTTTTGGTACCGGGGATCGAACTCGGGTCCTTGCGCTTGTGCAGCAGGCGGTGAAACAACTGAGCTAAATCCCCGGCCCCCTAGGTATTATTTTTTAAAGCAATAAAAAGTGGTGATCACCAAGTTTGAGAGGGTTCATTCTAATGAACAGAAAGGAAAGAGAATCTAGTTCCCACTGTTACTCTCATCTTCCTACTTGGCGTATGCTGATCTTTGAACACACAGCAAAGACAAAGGAAACACTTACATCAGGAAATCAAACACAAATGAATGTGACATCCAGCCTGTCTGCTGTTTCTCCTGCTCTGAAATTTACTTTCTAACAGAGAGAAGGAAGGAGTGGATACTTTGGGTTTCAACTCAAAATAGTGAAAATAGACAAAATGCATCACAGAAGAACAAATGTTAATGTAAGTTTAAAATAGAAATGAAGTATGAATGAAAAATAAAACAAAAAATAACAAGTGAACATTAGATCATGATGTCTACTTCCCTTTCAGTCTGCTCCAAAGTGAAAGAAGGAGCAATGCTAAAAGACAGAGGGTTAAAGCTATGTTGTACAAAAATTTAGAAATGAAAGTGTAATCTAAAAAGGATTACAAACAAGACCATCATATACCTACTACTGTGACACAGTTAAAAGCCTAAGAATTTGGCCCATGGAACCAAATGGATAATTTCACCTCCACAGTCAACACACATGTGCACACTGTGCTGATTAGAAAGTCTTTTGTTTTGTCTTGGTCTTGCTATGTAGCCAAGGCTGGCCTTGAACTCAAGCCTCCGTCTCAGCCTCCTGAGTGCTGGAATTACAGGCAAGCGCCATCACAGCCAGCTGCAGAGACCACTCTTGCAACAGTGGTCACACCTGCCCACTTCGATGCCTGGGCTGTTAAAAGCCAACGTTTTCATCTCCTGCCTGGAGTCCTCTCTGCATTCCCTGCCTACCTCATGCCTTTGATTTCTTATTCTGACCACTACCCCTGCATGACAAGTCCCCCCAAGGTCATACAACCTAAGCAGTGCACACAATTCTTTCACTATTGCTGTAATTAAACTTTGTGTAATTATTTAAACTGTGTCTGTGTCACCCACCAGGTTGCAAGTGTGCACAACAGAACCATGGTTTTGCTCACCATGTCTGCAGGGGGTGCAGATATATGGTAAATATACCCAGTGTCTGGTACATGAACAACTCTGTGCATACGAGACACAAGGATAGCAACCTGTCCTCTATCTTCAAGTAGATGTGGGAGATTTTTGAGAAAAAAGGGTTATACCAGAAGCAGAGAGCAAAGCCATCTAACTTTATACTATGCTGATTTTCCAAAACCAAACTCATGATGAGTTTTAACTACATAGAATATGTTCAGATTCCTAACTCTACTTAATTTGTTACTTTAAATAGCTATTAAAAACAGGAGCCACTGTTCCTTAGGAGAGCTTCTCACAGTCCCGGGCACACTGTGACAAAGTCATGCCAGAGCACGTGTTAAAGGTGAGAATTCCCTTCCTGCCCATGGTGATGACTATCTCACACGGGAAGCATGAAGGCATTCCTGTAGACTTCCCTTTACAGAAAAGAGGATCTGTAACTCTATGGCAGGAGCAGGGCATCAGCTCTGTGATACACAGCCACGCACTCACTGGAAAGCTCCTGGTCATGGTATTAGAATACAGCCCTGTGCCCAAAGCAATGCTGTATGAAAGTTCTCCTTTACATCTTTTTAAAGTGAAATTTTCATAATTACAGTGTTTTTGAAATGCTTATACTTTGACCTAGCAGACTGAAGGAGAACAGGGATAAAGAGGGAGAAGATGTAAAGGATATATTGGCAGAGTTCTGTGAATACACATCAAAAAGAGAAACAAATCTGTCAACATAAAGATAAGAAAAATCAGCGTAATTATGGTGACACTTACAGAAAGGGAATGTCAGCTGAGGTACTTAGCGAGGCCCCAGAATATCACTCTTTACCCCCAGAAGCCTAGCTTACATATTTTATATTTCATGTCATGTTATGATGGATCATAACATCCCAGCACGCCAGCAGGAGAACAGCTAAAGGGACAAGCTCTTTTAATCTCAATGTAAAGATTAGCCAGGGGCAGGAACAGCCAAGAAACAAACTTACAAATGGAATTTTATAGGAAACACAGGAATTTTTACAAGTGAATGGTATTTGCCACTATGTGCCAACAGGGGAAATCCAACCCTGTCAATCAGACCAACAAGAAAGAAGTCACCCCCTGTAGCCAGTGACCGCTACAGGAGCCAGCGCTGGGGCACTGCTACCCAGAAAGGCAGCTGAGGCAACAGTGAGCACTAGCCTTTGTTTTACTGACTGCTACAATTTCCCCTCCCCAGGCTTTTTTTCATTTTTGTTGGTGCTGGGGATTGAACCCAGAGCCTTAAGCACGTTAAGCACAAGCTCTGCCACTGAGCTATGTTCTTAGGCCCCCAGTCTCTTACAAGGCAAAGGGAGTTCTAGAATCTGGGAACCCAAACAAATGGAAAGATCAATTCCTGAGCCATAGTGCCACAAATATTTTATGTGAAAATCAAATTAGATGGGATTGCTTTATACCTATACATATACCTAAGATGAGTGAAAAAAAAATGTGTCTTAACCCAGTCAATTTCCACATTAAGGTTCTGACTTCAGTTTTCCATACAACTTACTCAAAAACACAAATGCTCCTAAGCAGAAGGCTTAGCCAGGATATTCATTTTGCTAGTGTGCACGGCAGAACATGAAAGATGGAAAAGATCTTTAAGCCTTTTTATCTTTCTCAACTCATTTATGCTTGAGTATCCAATAGGCCTCAATTTAAGTTGCTTGTCCTAAGTTAGTGACAGAGAATGCCCCAGACCCAAGGCTTCTCCTCACAATTAGATCAGGGTCCTCACGGTGCAATGGGGTACAACAAAAGCAGCTCTGGAAGCTGGGTAACTGCCCTGGGACTGAGTTTACTAGGTTCTAACTTCCAGGCCTTACAGAATAGAATGAAAATGTACTGAAGGGTACACATAGCCATAAGTCTTGAAGAATTACTGTTGTGTTATCTGTATATACCATCCTCAATTTTTAAAAATTCAGTTTCTCTGAAATTCTAACCATCTAGTCAGAGATACATTAATAGAAAACAATATTCATAGCTGTCTGATTTTCTAATATATATATTTTTTGGTATGAGGAATCGAACTCAGGACCTTGTGCTTGCCAGGCAGGCGTGGAGCCACTGAGTTAAATCCCCCACCCCTAGCTGCCTGATCTTATTGTATCTATTCATGGAGAAACTGCATTCTAAAGTCCTTTCCCTACTGTGAAACCCAGAAACTGTCTAATATTATGACTCAAAGTTATAACTGAGGTGTTTTTATTTGTATCAAAAAACTTTTTTTGTGTGTGTGGTACCGGGGATTGAACTCGGGTTCTTGAGCCTGCGGGACAGGCGGTGGAACCACTGAGCTAAATCCCTGGCCCCAAAAAACTTTTCTCTCCTCCTTTCCATCATCTTCATAACTAATCATGCAGCTGCATGAGCTGGTCAACACCATGTTATGAGCTAAATTTTGGAACCCAGGTCTCAACTGGGTCAGGAGACACACTGTACTTTTATTTCCAGATAACTGATCTTACCCATTTAGCAGTGATATAATTCCTTTATTTTATTTATTTACTTAGGTTTTGTGAGACAAAAATCTCGATACATAGTTCAGCCTGGCTTTGAACTATGTAGTCCAGGCTGCCCTCAAATTCTTGGCAATCCTCCTGCCTCAGCCCCCTGAGTGCTGGGATTATAGGCATGCACCATCATGCCTGGCTATAATTCCCATTTATTTATTTATTTATTTAGAGACAGGGTCTGCTATGGAGTTCAGGCTGGCCTTGAACTCATGGTAATCCTCCTGCCTCAGCCTCCTGAGTGCTAGGATTATACAATTCCCTTATTTTTAAAGGGTTCAACAACATGTAGTTCCAATCCACCATTAAAGTTAAGTTTTATAGGGCCGGGGATTTAGCTCAGTGGTTCTGGCACCTGCCTCAGAAGCACAAGGTCTCGAGTTTGATTCTCGGTACCAAAAAAAAAAAATACTTTCAAAGTTGTTTTATACTTTTTGGGGGGGCACTGGGGATTAAACCCAGGGCTTTCACACTGAGCTACATCCTCAATCCTTTTTTAAATTTTGAGACAGCGTCTCATTAAGTTACTAAGTTACCTAGGTTGGGGTTAAACTTTTAATCCTCCTCCCTCCACCTCCCAAGAATGCTGGGATTGCAGGCGTATGCCATCATGCCTGGCTTAAATTTTATACTTTAAAACCTGGACATAATCTTGGTGAAATCAGTGAGTGCTCTGCGGCCATCCTTGGACTTGGAATTACTTCAGGCTGGGTAAGGCAGGAACACAGGCCTGGAGAGTTCTGTCTCACTGACAGCGGACGAACAAACAGAGGCCAGAGACAAAGCCTGTTTGGTGAGCTCGGCACAAAGCAGCTTCATGTAGCGCTGAACAAAGATCCCCTGTTGGTGGTGTCAACAGATGGTTTTCAGAGATTTATTATTATAAAGCTTTCAAGCAAAATCCTGGCTGAAGGACCTACGGATAGGCTGGTGGCACTGGACAGAAAGACAACCAATGGAGACAGGGTAGGGGGCACAGACCTGACTTTCAGATTCTTTCAGGACCTAGGCCAAGCAAAAAGTAAGCCTACCGCTGGCCCGCAGCCCCTATAGCCTGTGGGTTCCGGCAGTGCCACAGACTCCTAGGCCTCACCCTGGACTTGCCCTGCTCTTTGCCCATCTGGTTTGTGACAGAGGAAGTGTGGAGGCCACAGCACCACTGGTCGGGCCCTTTAATTACTCTCTTCTTTGGGGCTTCCTGCTTCCAAACAAGACTACTGGGCATTTACGACATGGGACCTCCCCACAGAGTCCTCCCAGGTGGCTGCCTGCTGCACCTCCGGCCACACCAGCATTCAGAGCACCCGGCACTGGAGGACGCCAGATACCAGTCACGGATCCAGTTGGCTTAGGCAAGATCATCCAAAATGGCACAAAGAGGCCTTCGGAGCAAGAGCTGGTCCCTTTTTGCCTTTCTCACAATAACCTCACCAACCTTCCCACCAAAATGAACCAAGGGGACCGGTCGTAAAACGGGTCACGCCCATCACTGAAGAGATCTGATCCCTCCTCCGTCCCTGCGTCAGAGCCGGTGTCATCCACGAATGCCTCATCATCAAAATCCTCCATCTCATCTTGCTGCTCGTCAGCCAGCTCAGTGATGTCGGAGTCGGCCGTGGAAAAAGTAGGGGAGGGTGTGCGGTCGGCAAGGCGCTCATTCACACAGCCGTGGAAAATGGGGGAGCTAGACACCAGGGAAGACGCCGAGTAGCACAGCCGGGGAGAGAGGAAGAGTTGGTTAAACAGGAAGCCAAAGTGCCAACAGGACAGAATCCACTGGGGAATTGACACAGTAAAAGCAAAAAGAAAAGCAAAAGGATAAAATAAGCATCAATCACCTGGATTAGGAGAGAGGGAACAAGGGAAGACTGAAAGTTCTACAAGGACGGATCCTTACAGTAAGAAAACCAAAGGAAATCCGTGAGTGAACCATTCCAGGTATACATCATGCTATAAAACTTTTTTTTTTTTTGGAACAGGGATCAAACTCAGGACCTTGCACTTGCGAGGCAGGCACGGTGCAACTGAACTAAAACCCGGGCCCAAAACTTTTATATTTTTTAATTCACACAAAAGCTCCATCAGCATCCAGGCCTTAAGGAGATACTCAAAATTAAGGTGATGCAATAAGGCTTTAAATGTTTATTCAAATTCTTGGATCATCTTGGAGGAGAAAACAAAACGGATGAAATGGCTTATGCCAAAGTAGCATGTACTCTCCTTGGGTAAGATATATGTGGCCAATTCACCTCCTTAAAAAATTAGTCTTCTATCAGAGTGGAGTGGAAAAGACTTTATTTCTATAAATTATTACTACTTCAGCAACTCTTCTTATTTAATTCTTTTAAAAACTATCAGAGGGGGGAAAAAAACTATCAGAAGGGGTAAAAACATCAGAGGGTTTTTACAAAAAAAAAAAATTCAAATTCTGGAATAAGTAGGCTCAAAACTAAAATTTCCCTGGTTTTAAATAACTAAACCTCTAAGAACTTAACTCAATATGGACTCACAGATCCAATGTTTGGTTTCATAAAGTGTTGAAAATAATGTATGCACAAAAAAGCTCATGAGGATGAGTAAGGTATGCAATTAATTCACCCTTGCCAATGACTTATAGGGGAATGAATTGCTTTAAAAAAAGTGAGAGCAGGGGCCGGAGATTTAGTTCAGTGGTGCTGCCTCCTGCCTCGCAAGTGCAAGGTCCTGAGTTTGATCCCTGGTACCTAAATAAATAAATAAAATTTTAAAAAGTGAGAACAAATCAGATTATGGAGAGAGTGCAGTTTGGTAAGACAGTATGATTTTAAACTGCACGATACAAACATAGTTTTCTTTTTCTTCTAAACCTAATAAATTGTAAAACATTCTATGAATATGTTGAGAGTCAAGAAAGATTGTCAAATACTTTGGCTGAAAGTCTGAGACTCAAAAAATAATATGTATACTGAAAACACTGAAGAGAAATACCAAATGACACAAGAGATGACAAGTGGCTAAGATTTTATGCTCTTTTTTTCTTTTAAGATTCTATAACATCTGCTGAAGTCTTAAACAATTAAAATAAAACCATTCCTTTCTTAAAAGATAAATCATCATATACCTTCCCACAAGTTTGAACCAGTGGAACCGATCGTAGAATGGATCGCTGCCCGTCATGGTGGCTTCGCTTTCGTCTTGGGCGTTGGAGGCCATCTCACCTGCCCTGTCATACATCTCTCGCATCAAATCCAGCCTCTGTCTATTTAACAAACATGGAGCACAGGATTAATATCATGAGATGGCATTAAAAGTTTTCTTTGGAAGCATCTTCCATGCAAGACATTTAAAATTTTTAAAAATTTATTGACTTAGGTTTTTTGAGACAGAGCCTCGCTATGTAGTTCAGACTGCCCTTGAAGAATTCACTATGTGTCCCAGGCTGGCCTTAAACTCATGGCGATCCTCCTGCTTCAGCCTCCCAAGTGCTGGGATTACAGGTGTGCACCACCATGCTCAGCAAGACTTTCTTATCTTTTAGAAAAAGCTGCTCCCACTATTTCATGTTAATTTTTAAAGTACATTTTATTTTATTTTATCCCATTCCCCCCAAGCTCCCTCCCCTCCCTATGTACAGGCGCTTTGTTTTCATAGTATCTTAGGTGCTGAGTCTAGAGAAGCCACCAAAAGTCAAGAATGGCCACCTAACCTCTAACAAGGCAACCAACCCAGGGGAAATGTAATTCAATGGTCAGTGACATCTCAAATACACTCAGACAATGGGAATTATCTCACCATCCTAAATGTAAAGGAAGCTTGGTGATAACATCCCTGTTTGCTAGTGGTCATCATGAAGTCCAGGACAGAAAAATAACTAGAATTAAATATCATGGAATTGGAACATTTAGCACTTAGGAAGAATCTACAGAGAGCAAGCTTAAATATCTATAAATTTTTTCCCCCATTACCAGGGATCAAACTCAGGACGGTGCACTTGTGACGTAGGCGCTTTGCCACTGAGCTAAATCCCCAGCATTATCTATAAATATCAAAGGTGTTGGACGAGTGAAGATCATCACTTAGAAGAAAGTGGATGGATGATGGTACCACTGGCCGGCACCAGCACTCAGCACGGAAGAGAGAGCAACCACAGCCTTAGGAGAAGAGAGTATGAGGGAGCCCATGAGAACAACTCATTATCACTTCCTAAATAAAACAGCACAGATGAAAGTCTTCATACTTAAGTTTCTCCAAAGACCAATAATGCGTTGCTCCATTCTTCAGATCCTGAACTTCTACTGCCACCACTGTGCGAGGGAAAGGCCTATCCTCGTGAATCTTTTCCACGTCAGTGGGAAGCAGTTCAGGTGGCAAAGGGGAGTACAGTGTGTCAGTCAGAAGAACAAACTGGAACTGCACCTGAAGGGGAAAGCAAGCCACCGGTAGATGTGAAAACCACACCATCACAGCAGGTAAGTTTTGCATACAAGGCAAAAGCACTGTGCCCAATGGGAAAGGGGTAAAACATGTAGTATGTACTCAACCAAGCTTGTGACTGACTGGGAAAAAGGCTACCTGTATATTTAACACATGGAATAATCTTAATTTCAAATAATCCAAATTAGCAATAATCTTAATTTCAAACTAAGATACTTGCAGACTTTGTTTCTTTAGCCTTGCAAAATAATTGTGCACAAACTAAAATTTCAGTAAATATATTCTGGTTGACTGAGGATTTCTGTGGAACTTACACAAGAGACTGAAAGGTGGACCCAAGAATGCATTTTTGGTCCTTCACTAATGAGAGAGGATGGAATACATAAGGTTTTCCATTTTAAACTGAGAGGATTACAACTACTTCTGAAAGTGTTTACTAAGGGCTGGGTGTACCCCAGTAGCACGGCAGAGCTCCCCAGGAAAGGTGATTTCAAAGTAAGGGCTCAGGTGCACCCACCCCCGGCTCAGCTTTGTCACCACATGGCCAGTGTCCTACCAGCCTCCATACCTTCTTCTTCAGCTCCACACTGATGGCATTGGCCTCCTTCAGGTACACAGCATTGCCCCAGAGTAAGTCCCGCAATGAAGTAAATTGGTGAGACTTCCACTTGCGGAAGGCCCACTGAGCCAAATCAAATTCATGCTGTGTCCACGGAACTGAAAGAGCAGACAAAGTATATTCAATAGTGATCACATAAGTATAAGGAAACTCCATCTCTCCCTCCTCTATTCTCACCTATCACATTGTTTTCCGTATTTATTTAAAACAGCACATCAAAGAAATGTATTTGCTCTTCTTCAGTGTGAGTGTGTGTGTGTGTGTGTGTGTGTGTGTGTGTGTGTTACTGAGGGATGAACCCAGGGCCTTTGAACTGAGCTACACTCCCAGGTTATTTTCTTTTTCATTTTAAGATAAGGCCTTGGGCGCAAGGACACGAGTTCAATCCCCGGTACAAAAAAAAAAAAAAAAAAAAGGATAAGGCCTCATATTTCTTTCTTCTTTCTAATATAGGAATAAAAGGTCACATTTTACTGAAATATTTAAAAATGAGTAATTTAGTATATTAAGAGTTCCTCTGAAGTTAATTTGAAGGCTTGAGACTACTGAGAGGCTGGGGAGTGAATGAAGTGTGATGAATGCTCATAGTGCAAGGCGATATTAACAATGGAAGCCTTCACTTGGCTGAGACGGGGGAAACTTCAGAAGGGCAAGCATGACGAGCACTGTACTCAGAATTCTGTCTGCCAGGAATGGCTTTAAAATACATGCATGCATTCCAAAGTCCTCAATGGGAATTCTGGTATGAGCTACAGACTGAACAGTCTATCTTAACATGATTACGCTCCATATTTATTTGAAACAAACATGAACTTCATGCATATGGTACTATGACACAGTAGATGTAAACTTTCCAAGATTTCCACGAAGACCGAGCGCAGAAATGTGTGATGTCTATGAACACTATCAGCCCTGCCCCCAGCCCTTAAGCACACCTGGGTTCTGAGCATTGAGCATCTTTTATTTCATCTTTAAATTGGCTCATTACAAGGTCAATAGACAGTAGGGTAAGTGAGAAACCCAGCTTTGATAACAGATAAAGGATGAATTTGATAATACAGATCCAAAAGATGTAAGTTTAGGTCTGTGAATTTCACCTTCTTCCTCCTCTTCTTCCTCTTCAGTTGTTTCGGCAGCCAGGGATCGGGTCTCAACCTGCTTCTGCAAGGCCTGCAATTTACTCTCATAGTCCTGAGTGGAAAGAAAGGAGATAACATGTAGGAGAGGGAGGAAATAAGAGTGAAGCACAGGAGAAATGAAAGGAATGGGGAAAGCAGAGAAAGCAAAGGATAAAGACAAGAAAAGAGAGGGAGAGGCAAGAAACAATACAAAGACAGAGAAACGTGTAGGAGGGAGAAGACAAAGCACATGAGATAGTCTGTAATGGAGAAATACAAAAAAAGGTTTTTACTGGCAATTTCTCTGTATCAACTCCCTCAAGGACCTAGGAGTTCTTTATTTGGAGCTATGGCAGGAAAAAGGAGCGACTGAGGTGAAACATGCACGTGTCCCTTAAACATTAAAATAATCTAAGTAATCTCTTATACATGAAGTGTTCCAGAGAAAGACAATATTGGAAAAGATTCAATTCACCAGTACTGCCCCAAATCTCAATTATCTGTTTTGAAGGGAAAGGAATTAGGATTGTAGACTCTGAAGTGCCTGTCAGTGAAATATTACTACCTCTGTAGTGTAGGATGAGTCTGGCCTTCGAGTAACCCATCACCTCCACAATACTATTGGACTGAAAGAATTTATATTATATTGTTATTCCAGAAGACTTAAAAAAATACTACTGTATTATAAAATGTATTATTATTATTTTAAAATTATAATCAGTTATATTTTTTCAACTGAACTCAACAGTAAATACTGTGCATCAAAGAGTACTATGGTTCAAATAAGGTAGTACCAGGAATTTTTTTTTTTTGGTATGGGGGCTCGAATTCGGGTCCTTGCGCTTGCGCAGCAGGCAGCAAAACCACTGAGTTAAATCCCCAGCCCTAGTACCAGCAATACTGAACTGGCCAGTCATAGTGCAGCCTTCAATTCTTTTTTTTTTTCTTTGAGACAGGGTCTTGCTCTGTAGTTGAGGCTATCCTTGAGCTCACTATGTAGCCCAGGCTGGCCTAGAACTCATGCCAATCCTCCTGCCTCAGCCTCCCGGGTGCTGGGATTACAGGTGCGCACGACCATGCCTGGCCTCCTTTTTTTTTTTTTTTTTTTAAACCAGAACATTTATTGGTAGATTTTAGATATACATTATATTAATCATGGGAAATTTGTACCTATACATGATGTATCTTGTTTTTTGTTTCTCATTCCCCTGCCTTCAACCCTTCTTCCCCTCCTCATATACATGAGCTTTGTTTCCATTTTTTCCTTCTACTCAATGTATTATTACAATCCAAATCAGATTTACCCTTTATTTCTCTAACTGCTCCATGCATTTTATTTTTCTTTTCTTTTTCCCCTCCGTCACTACTAGGGATTGAACCCAGGGCTTTAGCACTGAGCTACATCCCCAGATCAGTTTATGTGTTTAAATTCTGGGGCAGAGTCTTGCGAAGCTGTTAAGTTTCCCAGGCTGAGCTCGCACTGGTGCTCCTCCTGTCTCAGCCTCCCAGATGCCTAGGATTATAGGTGTGTACCACCATGCCCAGCACCATGTCTTTTCAGTAAGAGCAATATCACCTTGAAGGGGTAAAAAATAGTCTTGGTTGATAAAATTCTTGTTCTCTTATGTATAAGGCACAAAATATGTATACAGCTCTTAAACATGTGTCTGAGGTATTAACACTTGAGGACTAGAGAGATTAGGAAAGAACTGTCTAAAAAGGTTCCTTGGGGTAATAATGAAAATAAAGTGATAAAGTATTAAATGACAGCATAAACACAGCATCCTAGGACCTGCACTGCAGCCTCCTGCTTCCTTTGGCTTCCTAGGAAGGACCCCAAGGAGTCCCTCCTCAGACAGGCCTGCACCGCACCTCGGCCAACATCCCGCCCATCCGGAGGGCATGGAGAGCCTCCTGGGACAGAACTCCAGGGACACAAATCTCTCCATGGCACTGGTCACTTGTCAGCCTCAAAGGAAGCTGTGGCGCTGGTAGTGAGCAAGACCAAGAGCCACTGACACAGCTTTATTAGTTATCTAAACATACTCTCTTCCTTTTCTCTTTTTGGGGGGATGTGGTAATAGGGATTGAACTCTGGGGTACTCTACTACTAAGCTACATCCCACGCCCTCTTCAAGTTTTTTTTTTAAAGAGACAGGGTCTTCACTATTTGTTCATGTTGGTCTTAAACTTGCCACCCTCTTGCTTTAGCCTCCCAGGTAGCAGGGACTATAGGTGAGCGGCTCTGAGTTTGGCTCTAAACACACTTTTTAGGACATTATATACATTATTACAAGGAAAACAAATAGAGGAGAAAAGAAAAACTAAACTAGCAGGTAAAAGAACTGGGTATTCAGGGGCTGGGGATTTAGCTTAGTGGTGCTGTCGCCTGCCTCTCAAGCACAAGGTCCTGAGTTCAATCCCTGGTACCAAAAAAAAAAAAGAACTGGGTATTCATCCTGGCACCTGTTCTTACTGGCCTTGCAATTCTGAAGCTAGGTTGCCTCCAAATCTCACTTTCCTCATTTTTAAAATGAAGAGCTTAGACATCTGACTTGCTTACCACACAGAACTCCAGGAACTGAGTTCAAGGCTAGCCTGGGCTACATATAGCAAGACCCTGTCTCAACACCCCCCCCAAAAAAAAAACAAAATAAAACTGCAGAAAGGACCATCTGAAAAACACGTGAAAGGTCTCTTAAAGGGTAATAGATTGTTGAAACGATAGGCAATTTTTCAGAGGTAGAGATCCAACCCAGGGTGCTCTACCACTGTGTTACATCTCCAGCTCTTTTCTTATTTTTTGAGACAGTGTCTCCCTACATTGCCCAGGCTGGTCTCAAACTTGTAACCCTCCTGCCTCAACTTCCAAACAGGCAACATATCTTAAAGGTTTATTTTCTAAGCATACTATACACCTAGATTTTGGTTTCTAAATACTGTTCTTCACTAAAAGAAATCTGAAGTCCTAGAGAAAATGGCAGATTCCAGGTTTGGAGTAAGGAAAGTAAAAGCTGACCCTGGAACATCTTCTATCAGGAAGGATGGAAGGATTCAAAGATTCAAAGACCTCTGGTGCCATTTCAAAAGGACACAGCCTCACAAGCACAAGGTCTGGAGCTTGATCCCCGATACCAAAAAAAAAAAAAAGGACACAGGCTTCCACTGGCCGAAAATCAGAATAACACCAGAAAAAGAATACAGCAAGAACACAGAAGAAATTAAGTACAGAAAGAATCCATGAGTTTGCAGTGATACTGAAAGGAGGAAAAAACCGGAAAGTTCTTCTTTAAAACAAACAAATATAACTAGCTAATAAATGCAGACGGAACAACTGGAAAATCCCCACACTACAATTTCAGATGTTAGTAAATCAGGCAAGGATCATTAATAAATATGAGAGTAATGGAGTGAAAAGTGGATGGGAAACAGGATATTCACACAATCCAAAGTCTACGCCCAAGTAGTATTATCAGTAAAGGACTCAACATAGTCACAATGAAGAGAGCTGGAAAACATCACATTAACCAAATTTATTAAACGTCAACATTATCAGTAATTGGAAAAATTGATATTTTATGTCTAATGATGTGATGCAATGGGAAGTACACAATGTCACCTTTATAGTCTTTTTACTAAAAATGTATAACCTAAGCCTAACCTTTTGGAAAAAAATCAGAATGTGGCCTGTACTCTTCAATAATGCCAATTTAATGAAAGATCTAAAAGCCATAGCCAATTGCAATATATAAATACTGGATCTTGGATTAAAACACAGACACATATGTACACACTAGCATGCACACATTTGTATTTCTGAGATAAATAGGGAAGCGTGAAAATGGACTATATACACTACCTAATACTGAATCAGTACTAAATTTATTAGATGGGATAATGACAGTAAGAGAACATCCCTGCTGGGTGCAGTGGCACACATTTGCAATCCCAGCTACTAAGGAGGCTGAGGCAGGAAGATGGGAAGCTTGAGGTTAGCCTGTGCAACTCAGTGGGACCCTAACTCAAAACAGCAAATAAAAGGGCTGGCAAGTAGCTCAGTAGAGTACTCAAAAGAGAGACTATTCCTATTTTAGGAGATACATATAGAAGCATTTAGGAGTAAACTGCTTTATCTGCTACTTTCAAATAATTCAGAAAGAAAAACATGAATGAGTAATTTACTATTTTTCATTTACTATTTTTTCACCTTCTCTGTTTTGTTTTGGGTTTTTTTGGTACTGGGGATCGAACTTGGGTCCTTGCGCTTGCACAGCAGGCGGCGAAACCACTGAGCTAAATCCCCAGCCCTTTTCACCTTCTCTGTATGTTTAAAATTTCAAAATAGTTGGGCAGGGGAAAGTATCCCCCCCACCCCCCGCAAAAAAAAACTATGTTTGTTTGTTTTTGGAACCAGGGATCAAACTCAGGACCTTGCACTTTCGAGGCAGGCATCAGAACCACTGAGCTAAATCCCCAGGCAAAAAACTATGTATTATATGTGATTCTTCTGGCAAAGAGAAAGGCTGCTAGTTTACTTAAAAATCACCAGGTAGAAAAAACTGTCACTATTTTACTTAAGGATTTCTTCAAGAAAAAGTTTATTAAGGTGGTCAAACTACGAATTACAACAATATTCATAGACTCTGATAGTGAGGTATGAGGTAACGGTCCCTAAATGTTCCAGTTGTGCTTTAGGGACAGTAAAACTGGTAAGATTTTCCATGATCCTTGGACCAAAACCTTTCACTGCATTTTGATTAGCAATTAGTAGTCCAAATATCAACATTACCCCTTGACTTGAGCCCTTTCCCCAATCAGGCTGCTTACAAGCTCCCAACAAGGCTGTTTTGTCATCACAAAAACTAAATTAGGGTTAGATTTTTCCAACAGGGATAAAGAAATTCGGACAGTGCTGTTCTGTTCATTTCATGGTTAAAACTAGGACAATTATGGAAAGCATGCTAAGACAGCAATATATTTTTCAATGGCCGCTTATGTTTATAAAAAGTCCTAATGGGCCAGGGTTTAGCTCAGCGGTGCCGCACCTGCCTCGCAAATACAAGGTCCTGAGTT